GGTTACACTGCTAATAGGCTGGAGGGCAAATCTGTTTATTTGACACATGGGTTCACACACACCTGGGTTCTTATTTGCTTAAACCTACTACTGCATTTTGCCTTGCTCTTTTCCTGGGGCTCAATGAATAAACATTTACATGCACTTTATGTCATTTTTACCACCGATGCACTCTCAGTTTAAAAATTAGATATTTGATTATATTTTGCTGGATTATCGTGTTTGTTATGTTTAACTCCAAACTAATAAAAATCTTTATATCTGATATGACTCTGGCAGAAATCATGTTCACAGATGAAATAATGTGCTAAAACATTGTCATTTACATCACACTGTTTGTTAATAATAAAAGAGCTACACGTAATGTTAGCTAATGTAGATGTGTGCAAACGAATGCAGCTTTACTGTAAATGACATGAGTTCACTGGCACAAGATGATGTAAGCTTATGGGAATGTTGATCAAATAATGATAAAGTGCTGAGGTTTTTATTATACCTGCAGTGCCATGATTTTGCATTTTGCATATTTCTGATACTTAGACAAAGATAACCCGATAAATTAAGATTTTATTCATTAAAGGAACTTCCTTTTTCCTCATAGTCAACTAATTGCCCCCTAAACGTATTGCTTGTTGTACCAACTGTTGCACAAACTTACAGCCAGACATTTTCCTTCTGGATTTTCTGGCAGAGAGCAGAATCCATGGTTCCATCAATTACAGCAAGTTGTCCCAATTCTGAAGCAGCAAAGCAGTTCCAGACCATCACACTACCACCTCCACGTTTGACTGTTGGTATGACGTTCTCTTAATGAAATACTGTATTTTTCTTGAGGTAACAGGAGTCAGACTTTTTCATCAGTCCACAGAATATTTTCCCAAAAGTCACAGGCATCATCAAAATGTGTTTTGGCAAATGTAATACAAGCCTTTGTGTTTTTTTTGTTTTGTTTTTTTGTTTTTTTTGGTCAGCAGTTGATTTCACCTTAGATGCCATTTGTGTCTCTTTCTTATTGTTGAATCATGACCTCTAACCTTAAGTGAGGCAAGTAAGGCCTGATTTTAGATTTTATTCCAGCTTCTGTTCTGACTTCCTGGATGAGTTGTTGATGCACTCTTGGTAGGCTGACCACTCCTGGGAAGGTTTACCAGTATTCATATTTTCTCCATTTGTGCGTAATGGCTCTCAACGTGTTTCCTTGGAGTCCCAAACCTTTTCCAGACTGATATCAGTCACTTTGTTTCTCATTTGTTCCCAAGTTTCTTTTTCTCGTGGCATGATGTGTTGCCTTTAGTCTACTTGACTTCACGGGCTCTATTTAAGTGACTTCCTCCTTTAATGGGTCTGGCAGTAATCAGGTCTGGGTGTGGCTAATAAACTTGAACTCAGCTTTCCAAAAAAATGTAGTTGATCACACTTAATTCATGATTTAACAAGGAGGAGCAAAATAGTTTTCCACACAGGGCCAGGTAGGGTTGAATAGCTTTTTTCCTTTTAATATATGGAATTACCATTTTAAAAGCTGAATTTTGTATTTACTTGGGTTCTCTTTGTTGAATATTAGAATTTGTTTATATAAAATAATAAAGTGTAACAAATATGCAGAAGAACTAAGAAATGAGAAAGGGGTGTGATCAGTCTGCTATTCATTGCTGACTAGCTTTAGATGAGTCAGCAACCCATACGGCCTTTGTACCCGACACCCACCATTAGGTAGCAAATTTAGTCATAGGGTGTCCCAGCCCATCTATCAGTGGCTAAAACAACTATATTCAGATACCTTGATTTTAATATTGTTTGAACATTTTGAGATGTTTGATGCTCTAGTCTCTGTTTTAATTTGTATACTGTCTGCTGTTTAAACATTTTAAGCAAGAAATATTGTAAACAGTGGGACTAAAATGGGATTTTACTTGCTTCTATTACTGGGTTTATTGAATATGGATGAAACTGCAATACAGACTTGATTTATTTACCGTGTATTCAACATGATTTAATTTCAAGACTGAAAATCATACTTCAGTGAGATAAATTGGTCTAAATAAATAATACATCAGTGACTTTTGGACTTGAGGGAAAGAAAAGTTTATTATTAAGCCTAAATATTCAGTATATATGACTAATATAATATTGTTAAACCAATAAAGTAAAGACTGTAAAAATAAAAGATGGAAAATGCTCTTATCCATCCTCATCTCTTCGTAGCCAGGCTTTGTACAAAACAGAATTACAGTCCTCCAGAATCTCTTTCAAACTTAGGCCTCATCCTGCTGATATTCCCTCAGGCAAATTAAGGATTAGCTCAGCCTTTCAAACAGGAATTCCTCAGTCAGTTCCCATGAATATGCCCCCTCCCAAACCAAATCAGCTCCGTTTTGACCATTGCCCAGCTATGGGCCTAAGCCCCATCCCTCAGTTAGGTTGGTTGTGAGCCGTAGTAAGAGGATGAAGTGGATTGTCGAGCACCACTCTGATTCATGCCCTTGAGTACCACGCTGCCAAAATGCTCAGAGGACGTAACACTTGTACTGCGCTTAAAGCTGCTGCTGCAGGCACCTCTGTTAATAGCAAACTGAAATACTGTGACAGTGAGAAAATGTAATGAGCTGACATCTTCATTCCCTCTGCGTGGAGGTGATTTTGATAGGATTAATGCTATATCCCTGATTAAAAGTGAAATATTGCGGCAGTAGAATAATACGTGCTCCTGTTTGTTTGTTTTTGTTTTGTTTTTTTTATGTTTGGGGTCATGAGGATGATGTGAAACACTGTTTGTTTCTGTGTGGTATTTTTAGATTTCCCCTCTTTTTCTAGTGGCAATAACACAACAGAGATTCATGACAGATGAGGAAGACCAATATGTAAAAACAACCTAAAAATACAGACTTAAAGGTTATGACTTAAAATGTGAAAGGGAAATCTTGCAGTATGTCTTATGATACAGCTGACTTCTGTCTTGCACAATGTTTCCCTCTGGAAGATTGTCAAAATTCTGGATGTGGATATACTACAGGATACATAAAAGTGCACAGTAAACTGTTGCCTTTACTTGTGTAAGACAATGGCTGCACCAAAATCAAAGGTGCATGATCTTGCATCTCTCCTACTTCTTTTTTTTTTTTTTTTTTTTTTCTGCCCTGTGGCACATTTTGTTTAATTCTCCAGTTGTAGTCACTGCTCCGTTCATGTTTATGTTCATTTGTATATGGGATTTCTGCTTTAAGCAGTTATATAACTCTTTATCTAGGACAGCAACTAGCGGTCTGTTTCAGTCTCCCTTTTGATGTGTTCAGTGGACAAGCAAAGGACAGTGTTGCTGTTCTCTCTACTGCACATTTGGTTACTTTTAAAAGACAGGAAGTGAATTTGTGTGTGTGTGTGCCTGAAAAGTTGACATAATCATAGCTCACATATTTTCCACTCTCTAACAGAATTTTATCTGTCCCTAACATTTCTTGCCACATGTTCCCACTAGTCTTTCCTCCTGGCACTGCTTTTGATATCCCACTTCACGCGTGCTGCCTGACTAGTTGGGATGACACCCAGAAAACCTGCTGCAAGAAATAAACAGCTTAGGCTGTTATGAGTTGTAGAGTGGCGCGTCTCTGCGCGTCCATGCTCTGTCAGGCCCATTGTTCTGCAGGCTACAGAGCCTTCCAAGACACTTATTTAATGAGACGGCTCTGACTGTGTAATTGCAGGCTGTTCTCAGAGCTATTATGGGAGATGTATTTTAAGGGGGCAAAACAGCCATTACTGCGGCAAAAACGAGCCGTGAATGTGGAGCAAAGTCACACTCTGTCAGTGGCGTTGATATAAGGGTGAGCATCCACTGCCACGCTGTCTACACACTGATTATGTTACAGATCAATCTTCAGTGTATCTTTAAATGTGTTTGACTCCCAGACCGTGTGTTTAAATTTGTTTTTACATTGTAAAGAGTTGGAAATGCACTGTGCTGCTGCTATTCTTTTGCCCGGTTCTCTCCAGGCTTCATTCATAGAAGTTACTTGCTTGCTAGCATCAAAATTCCTACCAGTAATAATTTATGAAGCTATCCAGCTGTCAAGGCAGTATTTTGCATTTCAGACATCTTTCCCAGAATATCTGAAAAACCAAATAAATTTTGAAAAATTCTCATCTCTTTTTAAACAAATCTTCTTAAATTTATGATTCTCTGTGAGGCCCAGCTGTTTTGCTCCAATTCTCTTTCAGTATGCCAGATGACTCTGGTCTCACATATTTGGTTCACTAGTGCTGGGATTTCCTAGTCACATGATTTATTTAGGATGTTTTAAGGTCTTTCAGAGAGCCTCACTATCCCGTCCTGGCACTCTATCTCTCTTTTAGCTCTTGAAATTACTCCCACTACTCCGTCTTTACCACCGCTCCTGTCATCATTCTCCTCCCTCCTCCCCACAGTGCTCTTTGCAAATTAAAAGAAACAAACCAATCTAAGCTGACAGCTGAGTTCAGCTCAAATAAATGAAAGGCCAGCAGTAGTTTAGCTCTCTGTCTTACACTTTACCCCATCGGTGCCTTTTGGCTCCATCCCAAAGCTTTGTTTATTGTTAGTTAGATTACATAACAAAAGCCTATTCTACATCAGGACCTCGGCCAGAATAATCAGGCTTTGGTTGCACAGACTTATTGTAGATGAGCTCATCTCAGTGGCTTCCTACTGCTGGCAGTACTTTTTATTTATTTATTTTTCTCTTTTTCTGTATTCCTAGTTTGATGGGGCTTTTGGCCCAGTGCTTCCTCATTCCTGACATCTCCTATCTTTATAAAGAATAGGAGAGAACATGAAGGTTTGCCACCACCTTAAAGTAGATGTAGCTGTGAGAGACTGGAGCCGTGAGATAGCAATCAGAACAGCAACAGTCACACCCGTGGATAGACTTTACAGAGGGATGGGCAATGTTTGTTTGGTGTAGGGTATGGTATTCCTGTTGTGTATTGCCTGTTATGGAAAACTGACAATCCTTTCTGCTTTTTAGTATCTGGAGAGGCCCCAATGTGAATTGCGTGGACAGCACTGGATACACCCCTCTTCACCACGCAGCCCTTAATGGACACAGGTAGATTAGCGATCACCGTTTGGAATTCGGGAATATGTCTGTTTATGCTCTGAAATTTAATGCAGTCTGGCCTGGCAGACCATTGTACAACGGGGAAGCTGAGTCTATTGATTGACTGTTTACTAAGGCTCTGAGTATTTATTAATGTCGTTTTTATTGTTGGCTTTTTCTGACCTATCTCTTTATTCGTCTACAGCGAGGTGGTGGAGGTGCTGCTAAGAAACGAGGCTCTGACTAACATCGCAGACAACAAGGGCTGCTATCCTCTCCATCTGGCTGCGTGGAAGGGAGACGAGCACATCGTAAAGCTTCTCATTCACCAAGGACCTTCACACCCCAAACTCAACGAGCAGGTCTGCCCATGCACTTAGTCATCTATGTTAATGTGCATGTGTCAACGTTGGTCACTCTTACACTTCTGGTTTTGCTTGTACGTTCCCCATGCAGTACATGTAAGGGAAAACCGTATTGAAATGATGTCACTTTTCAATATGTGTGTCTGCAGCAGACCCATAAAGGCCTAATGGAAGCTTGCTAGCTCTCTTTTACGCTAATGATTCTTTCCTTTTCAGCACATTTGGTCTCTGGTAGTGTCAAGATGACCTTTCTGATGGTTTAAACATCAACTATACGACGTTTATCCTTTTCTAAATAGACTAAAGTGGACATTTTTGCAATAAGAGTCATATAGAGATAGTAAAAGTCTAGTGCAGCATGGCATGTATTTGAATAAGATGAACGTTAAAAAGACTGATGAGAGTACATGAACTCCAGTGCATCTTGAGCCTCAACTTCTCCTTTGATAATGTGATACTTGAAGTGCTTTGACAGCTTGCTAGAGTGAAAAGTGCTTGTTTCCTCTAACCATTTTAACTGTTTTAACTCCTACATTTGATATTTTATTTGGTTGCTTACTGCACAGATAGCTTCCAGACTGAAACCATCCCTGGCCTATCCTATTTGAGATGAGGAGAAATGACCCATAATGAGCTTTGCAAACCTAGTCAGAAACATTCGGTCAAACAAACATTCGTCTGTAACCACAAAGTCACTCAGAAATATCTTGGTTTCATTGTGTGTCATTTCTCCCTGCCTGTTCATGACATCTAAATGTTTTTCTTCTCCTTTTTATTTAGTTTGGCTCATTTGTGACCATCACTCATTTGTTCATTGCTTGTCTGAACCAAAACCATCGACCTATCTTCTGTTCCTCCCTCCCAGAGCTCTGTAGACCATAAAGAGTTCAAACGCTGTGGGCCCTTTGACCCCTATATTAATGCCAAGGTGTGTACACAGTGCTGCCAAAACTTTTCCTTTAAACCGCCTTCTTTGCTTTAATGCTGTGTTGGCTTTCTGTGCTTGGGTGTGTTTGTCGCCGTTGCTTGTGGGGTCACTCTGCTGTAGAGATATGGGGAGGCTTTTAATTTCGCTGCTATCAGTCAATCTCTGCTCTCATGCTTTCTCCACATGTTGTGCTCTCCAGTTATATTGAGATGTTATGTTTACCACGGGGGATTCTGTTGTACTACCCTCTTGATCATGATTGTGAATACATAAGGTGTTGTATTAAAATGCCCTTGAAAGTTTAGTAAATGACTGTCTTCCAGGGGACGCTGTAGGTCATTTGAGTCTTTTTCCAGTGGGTAAGAAAAACCTGATTTAAATACTGTAAAGTTGTTGGCAACACAGAGTCAGCTGTAGAGGATTATACTGGAAGGATACGCACACCCCACCATCAATTAAGCTATTATAATCATTACGGTATTACTCCAATCTTTCAAAGGCTGAAAGTTGTATGAGATAAAGAAGGTCTTCTGTGAAATCTTCCACTGGCTTTCGATGGATTAGCACAAATTCCGGTTTTCATGGTTCCCAGACAATACAATAAAGTACGATGACTTTTTTTCCTAAGGGGCCAACGTGAGATTGAGATTTTTGTTGTCAGAGATAAATGTCTTAACAGATGGAAGATAGCAACACTGGTTACAGGGATTTTTATCTCCTTGAAGAGAAACAGAAACTTTGATCCCTGTGTGTTTTTTTGTTTGCGTTTTTGTTTTTTAATCCATTGCCGCCGTGAAGCAATAATTTTCTGTTTCATTTTATGATCAGATAACGGAAAAACAAACTGCAGTATTTTGTGTGTAATGCTAATCAGCAGGAATTAGCATTATAGCATGCTGACTTAAATGCTTTTACATGACAGATGTGGAAAAAGTACATTGACTATATAAGAATGAATATAATCCATCCATGTTGATGTATAAATTGACTGTTACTGAAATGAATTCACCTGGGAAGATTGAATCAAATCACTTGACATGTCAAAACTACAGTATATTTTAATCTGCTGTTAATACATTTCACGAAGGATAGACACATACTAGTCTTTTATGTACAGATCATATGTAACAGAGATTCACGTGAAGTAACTACTTGCTGTAGTACCTGCTATATTCCACCAGGCGCAACCCTATAGCACTCAGCTACCCAGAGAAGCCCCAGTCACAGCCTTTCTATGTGTGTGCAGAGTGCTCAGCTGGCAGTGTCATCCTCACAGTTAGTGCAGTGTACAGGGTGAACATGCTGGTCGCTCCATGATTTGATTTTCTGCAGGCAGGCCAGTAGATAAAGCTGCACACTATTTTAGTACATTGTCACGTTTCCCCTGGACTAATCTTCTTAGCATTTGGATGGGAAGGCTGGCTTTCTTTAGTGCTGATATACAGTACATCAGAGCATGTATTCTGTGCATTAGTTCTAATGCTTTTCCGTTTATTCTAATTCAAGGATTTAAAAAAAAAAAAAATACTAAATGGAGTGTTTTTGTTCTGCTGAGATGTCAAAAATGTCTCAGTGTAAACACTTCTGAGATAGTTTGTGCTCCACTCCTGGTCATGAAACTGAATAATTGATGCCTTGTTATTAATAAACCAGAAATCAGGATGCAGTGTGGGTGGTGCGACCCTGGTTGTGGTCATGGTTGATGGCATCATGTGACTCAGTAGACGGTCTGTGCTCTGAATCCAGATTCATAACAATCTACATCGAGAGCTCAGTCGCAAGAGAATGGGGAAAGATGGGAGGTTTTCAATGTAAAAGTCTCTTTGAATCAACATCGAAGAGGTGTGTGTGTGTGTGTGTGTGTGTGTGTGTGTGTGTGTGTGTGTGTGTGTGTGTGTGTGTGTGTGTGTGTGCATCCCAGTTTGTGCTTGCTCTGCTGAAGAGGGGAAGAGGTGAGACATTGTCATAGTAACAGTGTCACGGTTTATTGGTCCTGCGGTGGCAGTGAGAGATGCTGGCTTTGTGTAAGCTGGTGTGGTTGAGTAAGGTGTGCAGTGATGCTGTACAAAATGTCTTAGGGACTACAGCTTCAAAAGTAACGCACTCAAGAAATCATTCTGGATTGAGTCCAGTTTGCTGTCATCCTGGTCCAAGAAGTTAGCCAAACTAATGTTTATTCATCATACCACCATCCTGTCTCCTGCTGATACTAACCTCTGTGGGAAGGCCACTTTGATGATGTTTCAAAAGCCTCAGCAGGGGAGTATTGGCCACTAGCCACAGGATGTGCCCCCCACACCAGTTTGGTTAGGGATGTAGAGTATATTCTGTTCTTGAAATTTAGCTGAAGATTCTGGAGTTCAACAAAAAGTTAACAAGTAGCTATTTTCAGACTGAATCTAAAAACTAATCATTGTTTTCGTGATTATTTTCTTAAACATGTTTATTAGTTTTAGTTTTGTCTTGTACTTTTGAACTGCTAAAAACTGGTTGGGGAAAAAGAAATCATGGAACTTTGTGGTTAAATAGTAATACACCAGTATATTGTACACTTGCAGACGTGACGTGTCATTGATGTACAGATGTCCAAGAGTGATATTTGCAGTCTATGCAGTGACTGTAAATGTTAATTTGATCTACAAGAACTGGAACCTGGGTGGGTACTTGTAGAAGTGTTTATTTCATGATAAAGGAAAACAAATTTGCAATTAATGAGAAGAAACTAACAGCAAGAAAGTGATGAAACAGCGTAAAGAAAGCAAATAATAATGATAATCTCCTCTTACCGAAAAATGAATCGGTCGACGTTTCCCATGCAGAGTATCACATGAGGCAGGCAGGATTGTGTCATAGTTGGAGTGTCGGCCTTATTGTTATGGCCATATCTCATCCAACACCCAGTCCGGATGTTCAGCATTAATCAGCCTTTTAAAATATGTTGAAAATTTTAACCTGCAGTGCAAAGCTTAGTCGTCTCTGTTACAGCTGTTGCTTCCTCTTCAGTTCTGGTAAACCAATCACTGCTGGTGAATGTAAAATGCAGCCCTGCTGGTAGGACTGTCACCACAGAGATGAGAATCAAAACACAGGTATACTGCAAAATATAAAGAGGATTTATCTGGTACTCATCAGCTTAAGCTGGATTCATAGTCCTGCATTTGTGTCTATTTGTGCCGCTAAGCAGAGAGAATTCAGCCAATGTACAGGCTACAAACACTTACTTGGTATTTCCAGGAAGCTTGGAAAAAAAACCCAGTAACCACAACGAGCACTGATCTGAAGTACAAACAGTGCCTCCAGTGGAGTGTGATCTGTTAGTTGCTTTTTGTCTCTTATCACTTGTTTATTCTAAGATACATGACCAACAAGAGCAGCCTACATTACTGGGTAATAGACGGCTAAAACATGTAGATGTGTGTTTGCTAAGTAGCACCTACTAATGCACTATGCCACAGCGATGCCGCTAATGAGCGTTGTGTTCACTGATTTGGCAAGAGCTGGTTCATTTCTATGTAACGGACCTTCACTCAGGTGTTCCAGAAACCCTGCATGTGGTGCTCATTAGATCATTTTTATCACTGACCTCCTTTTTCCCCCCCCTTTAATAAATTACCATATTTGACCATTATAAATCTTAGTTTGCCCAGACTTGTCATGCTACCTCTCATCCAGGCTTTCTTATATAGGTCACTTGTCTAATACGATATACAATAGGCTGGTGAATTCTGACCCAGCCTCAGATGTGCTTTACATGTCCCCACACACAAGCCACTTCAGAGCCATCTAAAATAAGTATCCAAGAATGGAACAATATTTAATGACGATAAATGGAAATACTTTAGTTTGGTGCAGATTTAAGCCACGCTCATGTGAGACTATATGCAGAAATGAAGCCGATCTTATGCCTTGCTCTCTTCGTGCGCAGTGGAAGTTGCTGATGGAAGCAGTAGATGCAATATTTCTGACTTGGGCACCTCATTATCAAGCCGAACAGAGTTTCCCTTCCTTCCTCTAGGCATAATGTTTGCAGTGTGACAGCACGCTCATTTATCCCCTCCGTCTGCCACTCTAGTGTCCAGCTCATGCCTCGTCAACACTTTGCACTCCCTTCTGCTCTCGGCTTGTCCTCCAAGACCTGTTCTCAACTCATTCATGCTAAGAAGTGCATGAAGTATGCTTGACATGCCCCTGAGGGAACTATGTTTTTTGATTCCTTATTTTAAAAAGAGCAATCAGGGTTTCAACATTGTCATAAGTGTAAGGGTGTGTCTCCCATGTCAGTTTTGAGAAATTTGAGGAGGAGGGATTGGGGACAGAGCCGGGGTGTCTTATTTTGATAGTTTCCCTTTTTTTTTTTTTTTTTTTTTTTAAATATTCTGTAGCTGTATTTGAAAGGTGGTGTATTTTAACAAGTGCAATACGAAAATGAAAAAGGTAGAAAACACCCTGTGCAAAGAATTACATTCCATGGCTAGAAGCCATTTAGGCATCCATCTCATTACAAGACTCCAAAGCCTGTAATCCATTACTGTAGCCTGCCTTCATATTATTGGTGCTCTGTGTTATATGCAAAAACAAAGGGCTTTTGACTAATAAAGAAAAATACCAAAGCTGGAACAAATGGCTACTTTTTTGTGATTAACTGTTTTATTTATTTATTTGAGCAAAATATAGAACAGAAATCAGCATTTCTCAGCAAAACTCTCCTTCTTCCTCAAACTCCCAAACAAGTCACCAGTGTTCTTTAATTATCCTTGGCTACAATTATACTTAATTTTAATTGTTCCATAACTCATAATAAACCTAAAAACATTAAAATTGAGTCCAGCTGCAAATGACTGCTTCATTTTTTTTAATAACTTCTTTTTTCAGTATAACAGCAGAAATATTGTTTAAATAATTTTATCAGAAGCACCCAGAAAACGACGCTTTAGTTCACGTGTGTGAGATCTGTGAGCTGTCTGAATGCACAGAAGCTAGCAGGAATTCAATCGGTGACACTGGCATGCACTGAGGATGGGCAGCCCTTTGGCGCACTAGCTGCAACAGCTGCTCAGCCCACCCCTCCACCACCATCACCCACCACTACTACTACTACCACTTCCAGAGGCCAGGCTGACGTAACCTCTGCTTCACCCTGCTGCCAGTGAGCGTGTCACGTGACTGCGGTGGCTAGTCAAACCGTGTTACCGTCTCCCAGCTGCAGGTTGTGAGAACCATAACATCCTGCCCTTCTCTCTGTCACTTGGGGTCTTTCTCCCTCGTCTCAGAATATTCAGCAGCGTGATAACACAATGGGGTGTAATCTCCAGATGTTTTTGGTTAAACCACGATTTGTCAATCAGCAGCGTAATCTCTTCTTTGACGTGCTCTGTGGTCAAACTCAGGATGCAGCTCCACACACCGTAAAGACAGAAGACTGCCCAGGAAGTCTTAGCTTTGCTTTATGAATTCTAATCTTTCCCAGCGCGGCTGCAAGCCTTTGGTGTCATTTTGGGTAATAGCCTTCTGAGATCTATCTTGTTAGTGCGTGATTGTCTGACCGCTCATGTGGCCTGTGGTAGTGCAGAGGAGATAATGCTGATCCCAATCTTTATAAAGCTGAATTCAATGCTGAAAGTCCTTCTTATATAACAATATAAAAGTGTTTCATCAGAAATTGCAAATTAACTCTGTACAATAGCGTTTTTGAATGGGATTTGTTTGCTACAGGGCAAGCAGTCTGCTGAAATTAGTTTCAAACTGGGCTCCATATTTCAGCTCTCCAACTGTCATGTCTTCACTCTTTCAATTTCTTTTGTCTCACATGCAGATTTTAATGCAAAAGCATTTCAAATAGTTTTTTCTAGTTATGCTTTGTATATATGCGTGTTCCTCTGACGGCCTATGAATAAACGAGTTCAGCTGAACAATGTAACAAAATATTACACAAGACCCTGCAGTGTCTGCCCTGTAAATGCACTCCACATAAATCATAATGTTAATGAGAAATGGAGTCTGTAAGATTTGTGTGCATGTTGCATTTGTGCAAATGCGGCGAGCAACAAGACACAGGTTCAATTCCCGATTGGCTGGCTCATTTTGCTGATATAAAATGCTTAAAAATAGCCATATAAATAAATTGTATACTCCTACTATACAACTAGTGGGATAAACTATAAGTGCTTCCATTATAAGCTAAAACGGCAATACAAAGCAAAGCGGTCGAGGTGTTTGGGAGTAAGTGGAGGTTTTTAGTGGAAGGCCTCTGTGTGGATAACATGCACCAGTGCTGCCACTGAAGGAGCCAAGGGTCACTGTCCTATTGCTGTGTGTTTCCTAACAGTGAGTCAGACGGCTGGTCAGCCATGTTTAATGCGATCAGATGCTGGGTGACACATTGCTACAGTGCCCTGACCACCACTTTGGCAAGGGAGACATTTGGTGTTAACATGCTCATAAGCACTGAAGTCATGGTATGTGTCCACTGTCCGAGTCATTTTTCAGCACTATTATTAAATATCATGAGAGAAGAGTAAAAAGGGTGTTTCGGTATTATCTAAAAGGTTCCTTTGCCTGATTTTACAGGCAGCTTTTGCATGGTTTGAGTTTAGAATTGTACCTAAGGGGCTTCCTTAAAAGTTAAGGCACCTTTATTGCATGTCACACCTCTGCCTCTCCCAGGAAGGAAAAGCCACATTGCCAAAAAAATATAAAAAAAAGTCCTTGTATGCCAGATTTACTTGGATTACTATGGAGGCAGCAGACCTGCATGTTTGAGGAAGTGAATCATGCTGATATAATCACAGTGTGTGTGTGTGTGTGTGTGTGTGTGTGTGTGTGTGTGTGCCCGCTGAAGTCATCGAAATGCTGAGAGTAAATCTGTTTAAAAAGCTGTGACAAATGCTCGATGGTGCGTCACAGATGAAAGACAACGTGCTCTTTTCAAGCGGGGTTCGGACCGTTTCTGTGTCAGTGTGCTTGTGTCGGTACACGTGCATTTGTTTGGAGCCAAAGACGAGCGCACAACTGTACAAACTGAAAATGATGAAACCACCCAGGCAGAGAAAACTGGGGTCGGTTTAATTTAGCTGCCAGAGAAAGGTTTTGTTTTTTTCTTAAGCCTCTTTTACATTTGTTTTGTTCAGCTCAGTTCATCCAAGAAAAGCCTTTTTTTGTTATTGTTGTTGTTGTTAGCCTGCATTTGTGTCCCTTCTCTTGATAGGCAGGTGTCGTTTTGTTCCTCTAGACTCCACCGACTCTCTCTCCCTGCTCAAGCCGTGACCTGCTTTGCCAGTGTAGTACAATACTCGCTCTCCCAACAAAGAAGGAGATACCTGCTGATCCCATCTGGCGTCAGGTTTTAGAGAAAGCGGTAAATAGGCAAGTCACACCCGTCTAAAACTGCCCTGTTGCCCTGCGTGACGGCATGTCTTCGGTGGCACAGCTGGCGTCTTCCTCTGGGAGTCACCCAAACTGGCATCATGCATGTCCATGTGGGGACTTCTCATGCCAGCTGTCAGCCCTTTTGTAGGTGGCTCTGTTAGTCTGGAATGACTGACTCTCTGAATATGCGGTTCTGCAATAGCTGGCATTTTCTACCACACCCCATCTGTATCTAATATTTAAGAGAGCCACAGAGCTGCAGATAAATAAATTGTCTTTCCATGTTTGCAGAAAATCACAAAATTGGAATTCTGCTAACACCCTATTGTGAAAGAAAGCACAGCAGGGTCTGCTCTGATTTACTATATGCATGTTGTCATTATGTGTTTTGACTTGATCATGCAGGATTTCAGGGATTGCCCCCTGGTGGTTGCTCGTGGTAGAGATAACATGCTGGAAGCTCTCATGTCTATTGATTGCATTCCTGCTTTTGACTGGTTAGAATCAATTAGCACTAGTGACTGAGTTTATCTGGTCAATACTCCTGTTTCTTCTGTGTTTTATCTACTTATTTATTAGCATGTTTCCTGCAGTACAAGCTCAGTCGTGTTTTTGTGCATGTCAATATAAAGGACATCATTCTAATACTGGCTAAACTTAAGGAGTCCTTCCAACATTAAAATATCATCACTGCATTTTTTTTTTTTTTTTTTTTTTAGCACCAGAACAGTTTGTCGATACATTGATCAGCTGATCAAAAGGAAAGTCATCAAAAAAAAATGCAATTTTGGGGTTTTATTTTCTTCTCTGAGGATTTGCTGCAATAGAAGTATAGTTGAGTTTTCTGGACCCTGTTTTGGGGTTTTTGTCAAGCCGACCTGGACTTGTGGGGAGAAAAAGAATCTGATCGGCAGGGCAGACCAAATGTTATTGTTAATATCACAGTGATCCTTTGAGTGTATTTTTACTTTTCACTATGCAATGTGGGTTGTTGCTTTTTTGTGCTTTGGTGAGAAGCAACAACAAAGAAGCTTTATACATGCCTGACCCTTTGTAGCTCTTCAGTGTCGGTGCATTCTGACCTCTTGTCAAACCGGCCCATGTCTCTGCTAATTCCCCACCCGCCTATGTATCCCTGCCCCTCTGTTAGCACCCTGCTGCCCCTGGCACTCAGTGCCACACAGACACCTGTCCTCATTAGTCCATGCATGCGTGCCAGTCCCCGCCCCCTCACCCCAATCAAGCCTCACTGTGTGCTTTTTTTTTTTTTTTTTTTTTTTTTTTCTTTTTCAGGGTTGGTGGTTTTTCATGACCTTTCATGATTTGCCTGTACCCATCTGACTGGTTTACTCTCACAATGACTCAGTCGAGTCACAAATTCTGACTTATTGCAGACACGATTCAAGCATCTCTGTTCTATTCTTATCTCCTTAATTACACATTTTCACTTTACCTCAACTTAACTGTGCTGCCATTTTTCCCAAGCTGCTTCTTACTTATTTATCCCCCCCACCACCACCGCCAACAGAACAATGACAACGAGACACCGCTGCACTGTGCCGCCCAGTACGGCCACTCTCGGGTGGTGCGGCTGCTGCTGGAGGAACTCACTGATCCCACCATGAGGAATAACAAGTTTGAGACTCCGCTGGACCTGGCAGCACTGTACGGCCGCCTGGAGGTTGTCAAACTGCTGCTCAGTGCCCATCCTAATCTGCTCAGCTGCAACACCAAGAAACACACACCACTACACCTGGCCTCTCGCAACGGACACCTACCCGTAGTGGAGGTGTTACTAGATGCTGGAATGGACATTAACTATGAGGTATGTGCATGTGTTGTTTTTGTTTTTTCTGATGTATATTTACTTATATATTTCTTCTTACTGAAAACTTCTGTTTGCAAGTGTTTCTTAACATACTTTCATGGCCCAAATCATGTTAGGCAACTTAATCTGTCCTTGCAGCACTTCCTCTTGCTACTTCCTACTAAAGCTATGAGATTAAATGTAAAATTCTTAAGCTCTCAGTTTGCAAAGGAACTGTTGTAGTAAGGCCAGCGCAAAGCAGAGCCGGCCTTGCTCCCCCTGGTGGGCCCTAGAGCTCTGGCTCTGTATCAAACTGTGCCACCCGTCTGTCTGGAGATCCTTTCTCTGTCCTTTTTTCCTCTGAATAAAAGATGTGGAGACTATTCAGCTTCCTTTAGGCTCTGCATCCGGCAGGGCTTTAGTTAGCATGGCCCTGTGAGCTGGAAAATGATCTGCTTTGATTTCTCAACCACATAATTGTCAGTTCAAGAAGTGGACCAAGTAGTGGGCATGAATCCACACAACATGCGCTACGTATTTTACTAAAGTGTTGGTGCTGGAACAGAACTGCTATATTCTGTAGTCTAATTTTTTGGTAATAACATAGGAAATATTAAGAACTTCTGTCTATTATGTTTCTCATAAATTCGTATGCTTTTTCATTTTCTTTCCTGCTCAGACAGAGAAAGGCAGTGCACTCCACGAAGCCGCTCTGTTTGGGAAGACTGATGTGGTGCAGAAGCTTCTCTGTGCAGGTCAGACCGTAGAGCGCTAAATCTACATAACTTCCATGTATTTAAGAAAGACACGTACTTGGCACATGACTGTTACTGTTGTCGTTTCCCAGGGATCGATGTGAACATCGTCGACCAGAAGGGCCTGACAGCGCTGGACATTGTCAAGGACATGCCCTCTAAGAAAAGCAAGCAGATAGCTGCCCTGATCCTTGGTAAAGACCAAATGAGCACATACAGAGCTCCAGTGGGAATTATTCTCTTATTTATATCACATGAAACAGCTGAGATACAATCTCTTGTTTGTTCCAGGTCATATGACTGGAAAACCCCCTGATATTGACCTTCCCCCTCCACCAGTGCCTCCACCTCAGGAGAGCCCAAGCCCACGGAAAAAGGGTAAGATTTATCGGGAGTCTCTTGTGAGAGATAGTGGGTGATTTTTGCCTTCGCAGCAGCAAATCTTTAAGCAGAAGGAAAAAACACTGTGCAGGAAAGTATGACGATAGTTTACCTATTACTTTGACTTGAGAACTTGTTTTTGCTTCAATCTTTATCCATTTTGACTTGCAGGTGACCTGGAGAGAGTCTGTGAGCTAATCTCGGGGCTGGCCCTGGGGCCCGAGGAGGAGAGCCCTTATGAAGCTCTGTTTGAGGCCACTTCTTGCCACTCTTTAGACAGCCTCACCAGTGGGAAGTCCTCTGACAGAGACTCGGGAAGGCCTGATAGTGAAGCTGGAAAGGTCAGCAGTTTCTGATTTATTTTTTTTAAAAAATTTTTTTTAAAGATGTTTTTAGTTGAAGAAACCAATACATAAACTTATAAAACTTATACATACCAAGACATAGAGTGAGGCACTGAAATGCTGAACTCCCACTAGAGGGAGATGGTGATCCTCTCTTTTTATGACAGTGCTACAAAAATCCACCAGTGTTACTTTTCTTGTGTTTCAGTGTAGGTTTGCATGCCATCTTTTAATACTGATAGTGAATTCATTACTTTTTTTTATTACATCTTGTATTGCTGACGTACAGAAAGATCGCCTGGTCCTCTCGTCACATCCTGGCCCTGGTAATGAAGAGGAGGTGAGCTCAGAGGTAAGGAAGTAAAACTGTATTCACATGGTGATAGTGGTCTAGTGATAGCTGTGGACATCATCTATGAACTTAATCCCATGCAAATCAACCACTGAATCTGCTTTTTAAAGAAAAAAATGTACGTATGCAAATTTGGATAGTTTACGGAGAATTTGGATAAATACACTACATGGATAACCATTCATGAGATGAAATTGTTAGCTTGCATTGTACGAATTGGTAAGAAGCTTTTTGCTGTCTTTCATTAGGCTCACAATTATCTGGCAGGATATTAATAGTAACATTACACAGGCACGAGGGGCGTAACTTGTAAATCACATCAAGTCCCCCTGGTAATACAAATCCTATGCGAATAGGTCAGAGGTCATACAGCCAGCAGAAACAGTTGCCATTTAACGCCACAGATTCTCACACGCACACTTGTAGCTGTTTGCAAATGGTCGTGACAGACTACTTTTAAAAGTTAATGCCACTGAAAAGTTAGACATGTTTTCTAACTCTGTGACACAGGGGCTGCTGGGAAAATAACAATCTGTCACTGAGGATGCCAGTTTCATTTTAGCTACCACCCTTTTCATTTCCTTCAGCGCTGCTGCTCAGTTCAAATGGCCTCTTAAGAAATACTCAGCTGAGTGCAGAGTGGAGCACATGTAATAGGAAAGCGGAATTGGAAAAGGCAGCGTCCGAGAACCGTTCTGATCTAAACCGTTGCTGATCATTGTAGGCATATTGTGGATGTTTCATGAAGGGTTTCCTATTGTAAACAAATATTTTCACACAACTGCCTCGTAATTTCTAACCTGCTACTTCTTTTCACCTTTAATCTTTTGACTTTTCTGCAGGCCCTGTATACTAGCAGCAGTGCTGATGAGAAAAGGGAGCCAGCGGAGGAGGAGGATCACACATATGAGTTGTTGCTGACTGCAGAGACAAAAATCCCACCACCACCTAGCCATGAGCCCCACTCATATAAAGGTAATTGTGTTTATTCAGTACAAAAACAACAAGTAACATTTCGAAAAGGCATATTTTTCCAGCAATTCTTTTTGTTTGTGCTTTACGAAGATATTTCTTGGTGAAATGCAGTCACTCTACCTTCTTATATCTGCATATAAATCAGGAGGTCCTTCGTTCCTGACATGAATACGGGAGAGCTCTGTCTCTCAGGCTCTTTTGCTGCTGTTTGATCGCAACAGACCCTCCTCAGTTGTGGCTGCTGAATGGCACTGCATGTAATTGGATTAAATGGGATTAAATTAGGAGGCAATTTTGATCCCTAGTTGTTGATGTAGATGTTTTAAAACCGTACCCTTGGGACCTTTCAGCTTAGTCAGCTTGACTATCACCCAAAGAAAACTGGGCTGAAGTGTTGGAGTCTAATCGTGGATGTCATCGGGCCTTCCAGATGGAAATGATGGTGTTATAAAAAAAGAATAACTTACTGTGTTTTTTTTGGGGGGGGAGGGGGTTGTTGAATTGGACAGAAATGTTAAATGATTAGTTTTTCATCCGTTTTAAAACTGCTCTATCATGTCTCCGTACTCGGTGCTGTTTAAAAGGCAGGAAGAATTATCTGAAGTCTGTCTGACGCTTAGACCGATAATGGCGGCATGCATAATACATGATTTTATTATCCATCACTTTGACATTCTCAGCGTAATGTCTCTCCTGAAAGTCAGAACCAACAATGGATTTTCTGTAACTCTTAGTTAACCAACGTTTGTTTTCTTGTCTCCTTAGATGACAATACCACTATACAGTCTTCCAACAGTGTCCTACCTCAGGTAAACTCTTTTGTTCATGTACTATAACTGCTTCAAAAATAGGTTGCTATTTGAATACTAAAATTATAGGATTGTACCCTAGTTGCTGCACTGTATGTGGAAGTATCCTACTATGAGTTGTGAAAAGTAATTCGGTCACTAGCCCAAGCATTGTGGAAGTAAAAATGACAGAACTGCTGCAAAGCATCATATCAGCCCTGACGTTACTTCTGGTAGGCCGAAGATTCAAGCTGAGCCAGCAGCCCTGTATGACAGTCCGAGTCCCACATGCACAGACAGAGTTAACTGGTGGTTTTCAGTTGGTGATAGATGTGAGGTGGACAAAGCATACATGGAATTAAAATCTACATGGATGTAGTAGTAAAATATGACCAGTCTGGTCCATCCATTGATGCCTGTCTGATCTGTACGAGGGCTTAACATGTATACATGTGGAAAGGCACGAAACTTGCCAGATATATGCAACTGCAGAGGAAATAACAATCCTACTTTGACTAAAGTGGTCCTGACAGAATGTTTGAGAAATTATACTGTATAAAAATGCATGATTACAGCTGTCTAATTTGTATATTAAGTAGTATCTGGAGGTTTTTTTTTCGTTTGACAACAAGCTTCCTATATACTGGTTTGAATAGTGAATGAGTGGATAATTTTTGACCCAACCCAAGTGATGATAGCAGATTTTAAAATTAAGATGGCGGTCTCTTCAGAGTCAGAAACTGAGTCATATGTTAGCAGAAGGCAGAAGTCATCTTAAACGGCCCCTGATAATAGTGCGTCGTAATGTTGTAAATCTACCTACTTTATTTATTGCCCTTTGATATCTATCATCCAGTTAGCAGCATTTTATTATTGCTGTCAACCACCTCTACAGCCCCTCTGCTGCACACAGTATATACTTGTGTCTTAATTTGCAAGCTCCTATTAAGTTGGCTGTGCTTCTGACCTGCCTGATGATGATGATGATGATGATGATGATGATGATAATAATCTTTTAGTCGTCTGTGGTTTCATCTGCAGTCTCCTGAGCTCAGCTACACCATAACTACTGTAAGGGAACATGCTACCACGATTATAATGCAGTTGATCAGGGAGGGTATGTCTTCAGGATAATAAGCAGGATAATTAGTCTGGCTTTTAGTTATTTGCTAACTGGGCTTCAGACGAGCTACTATGATTGTTTAGAATCACAGAAAATGTTTTTATCATCTGTTCTTTCTTGCTGTCCTACTTTAGCATAAACCTTCTGCCCCAAACGACCTTAGAGCCCCAAGTAAGACGAAAGACACCTTGCACCCTCCAGGAAGAGTGGGCCCAGGGGCGCCGGGAGGTGAGTACGGTCACTGTCCTCAGGTTTTAGATGCCTAATAAGGTACAACAACTGCTGCTGGTAAAGCTGCGTGAGGGTAAGGAAAGATGGACCTGACACATCAGACTTGGAAAATTACAAGCCAAGCATGTCAATGAAATAGGAGAAATGCATCTCAGTTTGATGCATTTGAGATAGGCTGGCTTGGATTAGCGCAGCCGGGGAAGTGCACGATTGGTATTCTCAGGCAGCAGAGGGGATTTGGCTCGTCAGGGGCAGGTTGACTGACATTCGTTGGCGAGTGGGTTAGACTCGTTTCATTGCCAATGGGAAACTGAATTCTTGATCAGATCGTGACATTCCTATCTTAGATCCACATCCCCGCCTAAAGCTGGATATGCCACTTCATCCAGTCAGGCACAGAGCAGAGATGAGGAGTATAGCTGCTGGGTTTTTGCTGATACATATACAGATGTCTTCATTGAATAAATTGAGTTTTGGCACATGTTTGGAAACAACCTGCAAAAAGAAGCCAGTTAGGCTTCTCGAGTTGTTTTTATGTAATTTCACCACGTAAAAAATTATTGGCCAGCTGCAGTAACATTAGTCTGTCTGTTTGGGACTTCTCTGACTTAAAATAAACACAAATTGAAAAACGGAAAATAAGAGTGCGATCTTATTTGTTATAATTGCTTATATGAATTGGAAATACATTTTTAGCATCTTTATTCGCATATTCAGTGTTTCTGTCGTGTCACTGTTCCTCTTTGAGTTGATGTAAAAAACCACTGTGAACAGCTGGCCCCTCAGATGGTTACCGTAATGAGTTTAAACATTAAAATGTTATTCATTTTCTACAAGAGCAGTAATTCTTTTTTAACAAAGCTCAAGGATTAGCAACTTTAAAGTTTAAAACACACGGCAAAATGTTGTTCATTTCATTTTTTTGGTTCCTTTTTATATTTGGGAACTCTAAAGTTATTCTCTTCATTTCATTTGTCAAAACCACAAATTTGGTTTCTACTTAAATAACCCTGTCTCTGACCTGTTTCCTCTTTACTTTTTGAGGTTTTGCAGATCAGCCACTCAAACCTGGTTCCTATTTTATGTATTACATAAACCCAGGCAGTCGACGGAGGCTAAATATTTAGCTTTGTTCATGTTGATGTGATCTTTCTTGTAACTTATGTGGTCTATGGACGGTCGGTGACCAAACCTCAGCAATCTCTGTGGCAGGTGGAGGACAGATGCCAAGTCAACGATATATGGTGTTTAATGTCTGTCTTCAAACACATTCCTCCTGCTCTCAGCAGCAATCCACATTTTCGCAACAGACCTACTGCTGCTGATGTATTATAGCATTTCCAAAGCAGTACCTGTAAGATCAGAAGTTTCTCCACAGATAATAATAAAAGAATAATAATAATACATTTTAAAAACACCCATTTAACTTAAATATTACGCTGTTATGAGCAACGTTGGTGAGGAAATAAACCTCAAAGTATACATGCTGTTCCATTAGTTCACAACCAGAGAGCAGTGTGTTTTCTGTAGTTTTGATACTTAGCTAAAGTTGTTTGTGCTGCTTTTATGAACTGTAGCACATCAAAGGATAGATGTAAGGAAGTTAAGCACCTGTGTGTTTGTCACACTTCTTCTGCATCATTATATATGATGCTATGTGGAGCCCAACCGATCAGTGGGGCCGATTATATTGACTGATAAACAATAATTTAAAAGAACTAAAGAAGGGATGTAAGAAACAGCCTTGAACCATGTAATAGGTGTTGATGTTGTATAGTTTGTCCAGGGCTGGGCACTTTGCAGTGTATAAAATGATCTTTTATGGGGGAGGCTCAATGCGCTGCAGTGAGTTAAATATGATCAAATTATGTACTTTAATACAAATGTCCCCATGTCATAGCCTTAGTACCTTGTAGTTGTGCTGCAGTGCACTACCAAGAGTTTAAAATGTCTTTGAAACTCAAACAGAAACAGTGCAGGTTTTCCAGGGACATATGGATTGACTTTGGATTGTGTAGCTAGTGAAGTAACAACCAGCACTGATTCCACAGCATCTGCAATCCAAACATGACATCATCAGGGCGATATGGAGCTGTCGCTGCCAAATGAAATAAACACCCCACGTCTGTGGTGACTTCACCCAATATAAAAGAGTTGCAAAAACATCAGATTGCATGTGTGCGGGTTTTCCATCCTAGAACTGTATAGAAAGGGGCTCCGGTGGTCTTTGCAAGGGTTAACACCACGTGAGTTTGTTGGAAGCACATGGATGTGATCATAGGGCGTTCACGCTCCCTAGCTGCCAAGGAGAGGGTGGGTGTTTGGCTGTGATCTTGACATATGTGTGCAGTACACTCACTCACCCACACACAAAACACCCCCAACGCACACACACTTTTCCTAAGCTTGTGAAAAGGGAGTTTAGGGTGTTGTTTGGCACACTCCCTCCCTGGAAATGATCCCTGAAATAGTACTGAGGTAGTTTGGTGTAGATAATTCTTTTCCTATACTGATAAAATGACTGCACTGGGCACATTTTTGGCAGGAAGCTGTTTTGTGAAGGACACACAAAGTGCTGCAACAGGTCACTACTTTTCTTGTGGTGTCTCTGCCCCAGATTCCCTGTCACCAAACACTCCTGACCCTTGTCACCCTGGCAGAGACCACACAAGCCCACACACTCCCGCACCATGTGTCACAGGACTAATTATCGGAAGTCTGGCTGCTGGAGGACGGGGTGATTCAAATTTCCATTCCTCGCCCTCCGTTAGGCGCTAGAATTAGAAGCTAGAAAACACAGAGGGCGCACACTTTAAACAACAAAACGCATCACTGCAGTTGAAGAAGACAGGCTCGGCACGAGTTAGTTTTTTTTTCTTTTTCCCTCAAAGATTGCCCAAGATTGCACATATCGATTACAACAGGTACTATCAAGCTGTGGCTGATTTGATTGTGGAAAATAGGCTTAGGTGGCAGTAAGTCCTTGGGAGAGGGGAGGAGGAAAAAATCTCATTGTTCTTTGTTGCACTTGCCATTGAGTCTCATTAAGGAGTCGTTTTTGTTGGAGAAGACGGCAAACAGTAAGTTTCACTCCTCTTTGTGATATTTGTTGTGTTGTATTCATTTTTCTCTGGCATACACTCTTGGAATTTATGTGTAGGTTTGTTTGAAAGTGTAGTTTAGTCAGAAACTCTGGGACATTCTCAGTGTTATGTCATTTTAGGAAAACAGGCCTAACAGACAAGTAGGCCTCTGTGATGAGGGCTGTTCACAGAGATGACTTGCTTCAACTCCCTGTTGCAAAATACAGGCATTCAGGCACCAGCAGATAGCTGTCAGACGGCTACAAGCTGAGTTTGGAATTCAGGAGTCATTTCTCCAGCCAACATACGCCTTTTCTTTGCTCCATCTCTTCTCTCTCCCCCTTTTTCTCTTCGTCACTCCTGGTAGGAAACAATTACAGATCTGTTTCAGGGCTTGTGTGGGTGGTTTCTTATTAGCCACACTGTAAGGATCAGCCCCTCAGTTGGAAGTCTACTTTCCAGCCCTCACAGACTGCTTTCCTTCTTCACTGACTTTGTCTATTCCCTTTCTCTTTGTCTAGATAACTCACAGCTCAGCCAGGACCAGGAAGCAGGTGTACCAGAGCAGTTCACAGGCCTCCTACACGGATCTTCTCCTGTCTTTGAGAGCCGTGAGGAGTCCTTCCGGCTTCCAGGTGTTCTGCCACGCAATCAAGACCAGCCAGAAACAAAAAAGAGGGCCAAAGCTAAAGAGGGAGTAACGGCAGCTGCACCGCCACCTAGCCGTCCTAGCATGGCCGCCATCCTGACAGACTGTGATCCAAAAGCAATTTATGCTACTGTGAACAAGGAACCCAGGGACTCTGTGGCTGGTGCTGTATCTGCTGTCAAGATGCGCCCTCCTGGGGACCTGAAGCTGGCACGCAGCCTGTCCAAGTCTGACTCAGACTTGCTCGTGTCGCCTCCTAATGAAGAGGAAGGAGGATTGGGAAACCGTAGCGAGTCTGTTTCTAACTGTAGCACGGCTAAGAAGAGACTTGAGAAATCTCCCTCTTTCACCTCAGAATGGGATGAGGTAAGTGTTTCCGCTTGAAATATTTAAGACACACACACAAACGGGGGGGGGGGGGACAGGCTTTAGTGTCTGTACCGTTTAGTGTTTATGCATGTACAACCAAATATTGTATAATGCAGGCCAGTAAATAATAATTACATGTTTCACAGATGTTTAATATGAATAAAGGTGACCTTTTTCACACTAATGTAACTGCAAGGTAGCAGAGTGACAGCAGGTGAAACCACAGACTGTATATTAAAGATGGATGTAGCCACCATGACATCAGTCACCGGTTTCTGGACTCTGCATTTTGAAGCCTCGGTGTTAGTGTTTAGGCTGTTGCGACGTTATTGCCATAACCTGCACAGGTAACAGACTCATTCATTATTAGAAGAATTCCACTTGTCCCAATTGTAACGTGTAAAAACAAACCTAATCTGGAGATCTTTGTTTATAAAAAATTTGTCATGAATCCCATTGGATGGAAAAGATTAATATTGTGTGCATAAGGTTAATATAGTTCTAAAATGTATTGACATTGACATTATTGGACACTGTTTTTAAGCAAGTACAAAAGTTGACTTGTTTTGTTTAACAAGGCCTGCCTGATGTCTCATCATGCAATTTAGGTCAAAACTTGTCTGGAACATAAACTTTTTGGCAAAACAGTAAATGATGGAATATATCTTTGCACATATTTGCATTAGTACATTTCTTTTGTTAAAAAACTGCAGTGTATAAAAATATTTTCAGAATTCTGTGTTTAAAACTTTTTTTTTTTTCCCCCCAAATTTGTCTCAATCCCGCTATGTGTTAGTATCACAGAGCATATTCACATCTAAATATATTCCCCGTGCATGCAGCGCTTTAATGTTTTGTCTGGGATGTAGATAAAGAGCTGAGTAGAGACACAGCGGGAAGAGATTAGAGAAGACAAGAAGATGGGGATAAAACAACTGAGAGACTGAAAAAATAAGACAAGAGACAGAGATTTGGAAATTGAGATTCAGAGAAGACGTGGAAGCCGTAGATCCGTCTCTTCGGCTCTTGCCTCCTCCTGTTGTAAAGATGTGAAACTCCGACCTGAATCTCTGTAGAGACTGACAACCCGTCAGAACACAGAAAAAACACACAGCTAAACAAATACAGTATAGAACCCTTCCTTTTCAGAGTTTGTTAGATTTTACTCTTTTAAGAAACACAAGTTACCAAGAAGGTATAAGTTTTATAAACCTTGGTTTTTAGTATTGCAGTCATTAAACAGCCACAAAAGATACAGCTGGCATGGTTTCCTCATTGGCTCTTTTACCATTATCCTAAAACAATCATCTTATTGTTGGCAGAATTAAAGAAATCCTCTGTAAGCTTCTCAGTTAAGTTTTGCATAAGCTGTCCACTAGCCTCTCAGTAATTTTCCCTTGTTCTGTTTGTGTTCTGCTCCATTCCTGTTACTGATAACTGCACTGCTACACACAGTCCAGAAGTGACTTGTAGGTTTTATTTGTGATGCCTGTCCATCCTGAGCAAATCGCAGGCTCGGATAGCACTAATGCTTTCTCTTCCCACAGTGAGGAGCTCATGTTGCTGCCTAGTGTTCCTTTACATGACCCTCTCAGAACAACCACAGTGAGCTAATTGCAGATTTGAGGTCGATGTCTTGGCTACTGCGGGCCATGGTTTGCATGCAGGTGGTCAGTTTTTAGACCCTGCCAACTTATGCCACCGATACAGTAATTACACCTTGGTGTGCTGCGATTCTGAAGTTTTTAAGAATCTCTCTTTTTTCTGTTCATGTGTGAGACTGCACACAAGCAATCTGGATTATGCGTCATTGTTGCAACCAGTGCAATTTATGTCCTCGACATTAGATGCTGGTATGTGACTGTTGTCTGACAAAGTCATACATACTTATTTGGCAGTGTTGTGCTACCATAAAGTGCCAGATGTTGTGTTGATGTTGCTGCAGTTTATTGCTCACTATTAGATCATGATAAAAAATATGGCACCAGCCCACAGAGGGGATACTGTAGTTCAAAACATCTTTGATGTGCATTTATGGAAGGAACAGACACAATATTGGCTCTATATGGAAATACTGCTGTCAACACTTTCATCTTTAGCTGCTTTGGGAAGGATAGCGGCCCGAGGCCTTGTACATGTGCTTTAACCAAGTTCAACAGGCTTTTCTATCATGAGAAAGATCACAGCTGCCTTCCACTATGGTAATATGACTCATTCTGGGATAACCTTGCTGTTGAGCTTTTATGTATGGGAGCACTCCAAAGAGGGTTTGTTCTTGAGCTATTTCAGCATTTGCAGGCATTACTTTAGTTTATAGTTTTGTCAAAGGCTGCCAAGGAAACACTCGTGGAAAATGACTGACCTTTGGTATTCGTCTGTGTGCAGCCGAGTGAATGCCTCGCCTCGATTCAAGTGTACTAGACCATGTTTTCTCAGCTTTAGCCAGTAGGAACTGTTCTGTAATATCCTGAACACTAAGTGAACACTTACCTGCTCTCTTATTCACAAGGGGTCACCACAGTGGATGGATCCACAGACTTTAAATTATTGACGCAATCCTCAAGGATTTGTGCCTCCTGCTACTCTTAAACTGGTGATCCTTTGTGTGTTAGGCAAATGTGTTAACCACCACACTATGGTAATGCACTGATTTGATCAAGTATTGTTAGTGTATTACTATGTGACTTTAACTCAGTATTGCATTCAGGTTTGTGTATTAAACACAATTCATATGAGTTTTGTCTGGGTAGTGTGTGTGTGTGTGTGTATATATGTGGCAGTTAAAATCTTTCATAAATTCAAGCAAGATGTTTACCAGCCGCAGCCAGACATGGCATGAAGAAAAGGTGTTGAGGTGGGTTGCAAAGTGGCTTGCAAATGTATAGCGACTAATAGACTACATTAGAGGGCTGCTATTTACGTATCTTAATCAGATGCAAGGCCTTCAGCTGAGCCATCAGGTGATTTCTGTGAGCATTATGGTCAGCTGATTGCAGCTGAGTTTGATTTTTGTGCCAGCCTCAGCTTGTCAATCTCACTAAATGTGGGTGTTTTCTAAAACTGGTATGGTTCCAAAACCTCAGAAACCACATCCGCTACATAATATCTTGTAATTGGGTCACACCAGTCCCAGCATCACTAACTTTTAATAGTTTAAACCAGTTAAATGGTAACTAACCACTAAAGTTCAATTTAAAAGGATTATGATTTATTTAAAAAAGACTGGTTAGCAATATATAGGGGCCTATAGGGACTGGTTTGTTTCTTTGTTTGTTTTTACATAAGATAATTCCATAAACATTCACCAAAAGGGTCCCTTATCAAATGTACTAACTGTTTTAGTTTTAAAATCAACATGTCAATGCCCTCTGGTGGGCAAACTGTGCATTATTGTCTCTGATTGTATCATACCTGCCTGGCTGCCCAGTTCTTGCAATTTCTGGTTGCTGATTGGCCGACATATATGCACCACCAATTTATACCTGTCGTAACGTAGCATTACCATTTGGATCTAGTGGTATTTTTGTAATTCAGTCACAAACTATGACAAATACTAATGGAAATGTACCATAGCCAAAAGTGTAATGATGACTATTTAAAAGTCAGACATCCAGAGGTTTTGCACATTGTCTTCCTTTTCCAGAATGTGGCGTAGTGGGTAATGAGCTCAATCAAGTATGTGCTTGGATCTTTTATTTCCCTTTAAAGTCTGGTCACTGGCAGGGCACTGTTCATTCTAATTATCTAGTTTAATGAACACCTCACCACCTCAGACTGCACCTGAGGGATGTGGCCCGTGAGAGAGTGACAGGATTAAGCCAGCTGTGACATTACTTGGCTATTGGAGCTTTCTGCTCTTCCTAGATATCCTCAGCAGCTCACAATAATCCTGGAGCTCCCGAGTCCTGTTGTATTCTCCCCGGTGCTTAGAGAAAGATGAAGTAAACAGACTAAACGTGGCCTAAGAGGAGGAGCCAAAGCAAACTGCATTTCTTTGGCAGGAGAATAGATGGTGATATTGTTTCCAAACTGAAGAAATAGCTCTGGTCTGCTAAAAGGAGATGAACTTGAAGCAGTGCCCCCATTTCCTGTGTGCGCCATGTAAGTGTATTTTACCAAGGGAACTGGGCAGCTTTGAGTTCATCTGAATGTCTGGAAGCTTTTTAAAAAATCATTAAGTTGGCTGCTGGCAGAGAGCTGCCCTCTGTTAATTTCATTCTTCTCTTGGGAATAAATTTTATTTACTCTCCAGTCATACAGCCAGACACGTAATAAAATTGCTTTAGGGCTCTACTACCTAGACGGTGGACCTTAAAAATATAGATATATTTTTTTTCTTTCTCTTTTGCTATCAGTGGTGCTACAGAATAAAATGTGTTCGTGCTCCCTAATATTGCTAATATCAGCCTCTGATGGAGCTCACACATGCACAGGTTCCTTGTCAGCACATGTACTTCAATGTAGAAAGTTAAAATTTAAAATACAAGCCCCAAAAAAAAAATGAAAACAAATGATGCTTTGTAGAGTTAACCACTACCCTGCTTGCACAGTTTTCCATAACAATAACACCATGTTTTAGTACTTTTTGAAAGCATGCTGAATCGCATAGGAATTTTCTATTCGGTTGATCGTGACTAGATGTTTATTAGAGGCCTTGGTTGGCTAGTAAGCTTCTAAAAGCATTTGAAAAATTCCAATTTTTGAGCCTTACTTAAAGTTAATGAACCCGGAACGCTTTTTTCTTTTCACATGAATAGTGATTTAGATGGCGGTGAGTTCTCTGCTCAAACCAAAGCGCAAGAGCTCATTTTTTTTTCTCTCTCTCTCTCTTTTTCCTTTCAGGGAATAAGCCTGCGTCTGCTTGAAATAGAAATATTCACACCAGCGATTTAAAGTGCATAGCAAATGAGAGGAGTGTGTGGGAAATGCAGTAAAAGTTTCATTGGGCGTATCCTTGCCTACACTTTCCTACTGATGTTGGGAGTGTCCCCTGAAAATTGAAAACTCCCTTTTCTTTTCACTTTCTCTCTCTCGCTGCATTCTCTTCAGCCCTTGTCTCTCCATCTGCAGTGTTTGCTTACTCTTGCTTTCTCTGATGTGCTGTGGCAGCCATCTTGCCGGTCACGACTGGCTGCTCTGGAGCACTCTACAGAGCTGCGTGACAGCATTTGGGGTCCCTGGACATTACCAAACCCACCCCCAAGTGCATGGACACACCTCTTCTAAAAACATCTTTTTTTTTTTTCTTCCTTTTTAATCTGGTTTGTAAAATATTCTGGTTCTCACACCCTCTTCCCCTTCCTTTCAGTATCGTTCCTAGTCATCCCCCCTCTTTCTCAACAAGACAAACCCTTGGATGCACTGCCTCGGGTTTCAAGACAAGGAGATTTGACTTGCATGAGGTCTTGGCCTATGCATCTCTCCTTTTAAGGCGCTCTCAGTGTGTGTGCATGTGTGTAAAGCGCATGCTAATGTGGGTTGGTGTTGGTCCTTGCAATCAGACTGAAGATGACAATCCAGGGGGGCACATTGTGTGAGCCAGCACTCTGAGCTCCACAGATGGAAGGAGAGATAAGGAGACGGCGAGCTTTAGACAGAGACAGGAGAGGGCCGCTATCCACTTCCACACTTCACTTTTTAACTTCGTTTTCGATTCGCACCTCACAGATCCAATAGCCACTATGAAACCAGCTTTTGTGAGTATTGATTCCCTTACAGGCAGCAGCTCTGCTAGAGGCTCATTAATCTTGTCTACATGCTATGACTGAACAGAATGAGAAAATAATGAATGCTTTTTAGCATTTCTGTGGATATTATATTTCTTTTAAAGCCTTTCTGATTGGTATTCACTGATTGAAGCTGGTTGCTTTATTGATAAAGAAATAAAAGGGAGACAAAGTGAGGCGCACACCCAGATTATCCTGCCCTTTCTTCAAAAACCTTGTCCTCTCTGATGTTTTTAAGCCACGCATCATTTTCTTTGCTCTCTTTTTCTTTTTAATCCATGTTCATGGGATCATTAAGGGTTTGGCTATGCGTTGGTTTTCTGTGTCCTCATTGTTTGCTAAGCAGTTTCATGTGTTTGACTTGCTGAGATCAAACCAAACTGTGGGTGTGTGTCAGAGCTCCAGTGCAGCCAGTGAGGTAAATCTATTCTCTGATCCCCACCAGGGGGAGGACACAGGAGAGCCACGGGGGGCTGACGCGTGCAGCCACTGCTTGGTATAACTCTAGTAATTATTTGCAAAGGAATGCCCTTCCTGTTTTAAGTTTAACTGGGAATATTTATGTGTAATGCGGAATGAGTGGTCAAGGTTTCCCAGAGGGGACGTTGTTCATAAAAACATAAGCATGACATTGGGCTATTTCAGGAGGATGTTGATGGGACTGCTGACAGTGTTTTGTCCCACTTTGGCATTGAGGTCTTGGCACCTGCTACAAACAGGGTTGTGTTTGTGTTCCCCTTGATGCTTTTCACTAGTCCGTAGTTTTCGTCCAACCCTTGTTTTAGTGCCAGCTTGCCAATTTGAGGCTGGTGGTCTGGGCACACGGTCTCTGCTGCAGCCTTTTGTTTCACCCTCTACACACTGCCAGGCGTCCTTTAGCTCTGCCGCCACCCTTTCTCTCGGCTTTAGTTGGGCATTGTTCAAGGCTGTTAATGAAAAGACAGTTTGTGTTTTCACATCCCGGTAGGACAGCGGACCCGTTATTCTGCTAAGTCACCTCAGGGCAGCAGGCCTACTGTGAGGAGCATGATAAATGGCTTCATGCGCCTTTAATCTCACCCTGACCATTTCGCAACACTGCTGGCTCTTCAGCTGTTGACCTCCACCTCCTGGGTGACTTCTGACCCCTCTCATTGTACCCCTGTGCTCACAGTGAGGCTCTCTAACAATGGATGCCTCTCCATTTCAGTTCTCTGCATTGATTGAATCCTGCAGCACAAAAACACACCCATCTCTCCTCTCCTCTATTAATTCTCATGACACTGAGCATCCTAGTTCCTGACCATGAAATTCAGAAGCCTCTTCTTGCTGTGAATGTGATTTACTTTGAGGAAATCACTGGCTGGCATCCTCTGATAAGGATATATTTACCCAGCTCCAACACACCTACCTTTCTGGATAGCTGCCTTGAACTCTCATTGGACCAGCTAACATTCCCTTTTCCATTATGCTGGATAAGTGAGGCCAATACAGCAGGACTGAACATCGATGTGCTTTTTTTGTTGTGATTTGTGTGTACGTTCATGTGTGTACATTTCTTTAAATAGGGAAAAAAACGTCTGTGCTTTATCTTAAGTGACATTTTAAATGCATCCAGTTTATTTTGTTTATCCACAGTAGTGAGTATATTTTAAATTCTCCTTCAGTGTTTAAAAGTACAATGGCCTGTCTTATCTCCTGAATGGTGGAGTAAAAAACTTGGGCAGCTGAACTGTGTGTCAAAGATGCGATTGATGGGAGCATTATCCTCCCTCGAGTACAGACCTTGGCCACTTTAATGAGGCAAAGAGCACTGCCTTGTCTTCATTAACTCAGGTGCTGCTACTGCTTATGCATGTGTGTGATTTTACAGATTAGACCCCCAGTCGAGGCCAGCGCTCATCAGGGGCTTTCTAATTGCTTTTGTCCTGCCGAGGCCTAATAATTTAGTTTATTATGAGAGCAACATAAACCTGTCAAGATCAGTTTGATATCATAACTTAAGGAAAATAAGCAGCCATCCCTAGGTGAACAGAAACTCTAATGAAGATGTAGTTGGTTTGTGTTTTTTCTCTTTTATTTCACCACTAGAAGAAAATCTAAGGAATCCAAGAAGCAACAGCAACTACATGCTGTTCATGTTAGAGCTATTCTTATTTTTTTTGGGGGGGGGGCACATCTCTCCCCAGCATCATCCTTCTTTCCTAAAATGCTTCATACTAACTGAACCATCACTGTAGAAAAGTCTGAGCACACAATGTCTCACATCCTTTCAGTATGTGTGACATGCATCCAGAGACTCTCGTGTGAAGAGGAGGCAACTACTTTTGATCACTCATGTTTGCTCTTTGCTCAGCTAGAAGTTGTGTTCCCACTCCACCGTCAGCTTTCCTGTTTAACGACATAGAATGAACATGTGGACGGCAGTTATTTGTTGAGCTCGTGTGACTAATCTACCATCTGCCCAATATGCAGGACTCTAATCAAGAGTATGGTGACTTCACACTGGGCAGATGGATATCAAAAATAATGCCATTCTCTAACCGTCCTTTGTCTCACACCTCTTCTCGCCAAAACTTTGGCATTTTCCCTCTGCCGTATTGAGGACTGATGGTGAACATGAATGTTGAGAATGTGGACATGAGGAAGGAATTGTACTTTACACTGAGGCTGAGTGTGTGATCCTGAGCTTTTGTGTTTATATTTCTTCACTTCCTATGACTACACTGATTATTCATAGATCCAGTCATAACAGATACATTTGTTATGCACTAAACATGTACGCTTTTCCATCTGGAACGGTGTTTCTTTCAATTTAGAATTTTTAAAATCTCCTGTCAAGAGTGTTTTTTGTGTGAAACAGGATGATTATAATAACACTGCCAGAGGATAGTTGGCACAGTGTGGATACACACTTTGAATGGGAAGAAGGCGAAACAAAACGATGAATTCTCTCTCAGCAGACACCGGCGACTTCTGACTCCCCAAAACAAAGAAGATCTAATTCCTCCGACAGCGTAAGATGTCAATCTTCTGGTCCTTTTGGGTTTTGGCTCTGTCCTCTACTGGGGCATTCTTTGTAGAGGTAGATGGGATCCTTTGAGGCTTTAGGAACCCTTTTGGAATAACATTAACTCAGATTATTCATTTCTTTTTCTAAGTCCAGAAGCTTCAGTTTGTGACTGGGTTACCAGTCTGGCAGCAGCATACTAAAATAGATGCATCATTGTTCAACGTTAATATCTTTCTCTGCCCTTCTGACATTAATCTTCTAATTATGCACTATTTCACTACTGAACATCCACCTGCTGATCAATGATGAAAAAAACTGCTACTTTGGTTTTCCAGTGTCGCTTTATTATCTCATATATAATTATGCTAATGGGGTCATCAAATATGTCTGGGGGCTTTTTAAGGAGCGAGGACATTCAAATTCGGATAAAACTTCTCCAGCTGTAGTTTTATCTGTTCACTCTAGTTTATACAACATGGCCTCATACTCAAAGTAGTCAGAGTACCTGACAGGTGTGACAGCAGCACAGTCAGTCTCTCCGTTTGCATTGAATTCACTTCCAGTGTCCATGCATATTCAGCTGTGGGCCACTTTAAAGGGAACCACGATTCTGTGCTGTGGCAGATGTAATATTGCAGTTTCATGTCCCACTGCTGCTTCGCTTATGAATACATTTCTATGAAATGACAGTATTGTGTTTTTACAAGTCCATGAGCGGCATGTGCATGTGATGTGTGTATGTGCGTGACTTACTGTGATTGGAAACAAACTGCTGGTGATGTTCACATGCATTATGTCATGATGCATGAAATTACTGCAAGAAACGTCAGGTTTCTGGGCATCGCTTCAGCTGTAGCTTCTCACTCTCAGTCTTGCTGGGTTTCGAACCCTTTTTGTTTTGTCTACGAAGCTTCAGTCGTCTTGAAACATTTGTTACAAGCATTGGTTTAAGCATCAAGACACAGTTAAACCTGCTCCAAAACTCTCTTCGCTGAGAGCTTTATAAGTACATGGGAAGCTTAAACTACCAGACTTTGTTCTGTATTATTTTTCCAGACTTGCGCACGTTCTCTTTTAGCTTGTTTATTACAATTACCCTTTTGTTTTTGACCTTATTAGAGTCGGACGGTAAGACCGGCATGCCAGTATAAAGCAGCATTTTTGTGCCTGTTGTCCCCTACCTGCAGTCAAGCCCTGGTTACTCATTTAATGTGGGACAATAGCAATGATTGTTTTAATGTGACCATAAATAGGATATAAAGGCACTCAACCGTCTCGGTCCTCAAGCTGTCCTTTAACATGTCTTTGCAAAATCACTGCAACCTAATTTTCTTCTTGCTGACATACTCATCATTTGCTCTCACAGGGACAGTGTATTATTGCTTTAGGGGCTTTTCTCTGTATTTTTGCTGGTGAAAGGTGGTGGCCAAACTCTGATCACTCTTCCAAGCCCTTACATTTTGTTTTCTCCCCCCTCTGTTCCTGTCTTCAGATCGAGAAGATGATGACTATGATTGGTGCAGGCATTGATTTTTCCAGAGATCAGCAATACGCTACACCAGGTAGAGTATGAATACTAATATTGTTGCTTTTTCATGCATATTAAAATGACTTAAGTGTCAAATTCACAAATAAATTATCAAGGAAACCTGAAGGAAAACGGGAAGAAATGGGTAGTTTTCCATTAGCTACTCATCTGTTTAATAAATGTGAGCAAAAGCACCTTGTATTAATTCATTATTTATCTTTTTGTGGGTGTGGATGTTAATGCAACGGCTGCCTTTATTGCCAAATAGTGGGCTTGGAATGCTTGGAATTTGATTTATACTATAGTTGTATTTATTAATTCCTCAGCCTGAACCTTAAAAATATATTAAACAAGTGCATGGCAGTGATAGTAGAGAGGAGAGCTCTAAATACAGATTAGCGGGCGATCGTGGCTCAAGAGTTGGGAGTTCGCCTTGTAATTGGAAGGTTGCCGGTTCGAGCCCTGGCTTGGACAGTCTCGGTCGTTGTGTCCTTGGGCAAGACACTTCACCCGTTGCCTACTGGTGGTGGTCAGAGGGCCCGGTGGCTCCAGTGTCCGGCAGCCTCGCCTTTGTCAGTGCGCCCCAGGGTGGCTGTGGCTACAATGTAGCTTGCCATCACCAGTGTGTGAATGTGTGCGTGAATGGGTGGATGACTGGATGGGTAAAACGCTTTGGGGTCCTTAGGGACGCTCTACAAATACAGGCCATTTTAGTTACAAATGGAGGTTTGGGTACAAAAATACTATTTTAGAAATTACAGGTTTGTTTTTTTATGGAACAAATGACAAAGAAAAGAGTCTAAAACGTTTCTTTTAAAAGGCGTGTGTCATCCTCCACTGAGATTTGACCCCTTGGTTTGTTTTGTGTCTCTGTTTTTCTGAGGCAGTAATTCAAGCTGTGGTGTCTGACATGAGCCAAGTACTAAATCTGCATCATAACGTGCCAGGATCTTTATTTTTAAAACCAAAGTGCCTGAGAGAGAACCTGTATTACAAGCAGTGTAAGGACTGTAACCTGCTCTGCTGTTATTCTGCTTTTCAAAGCCTGTCATTAAGGTTTGATGGATGGCGTCCAAGGATTGTAGCAGCAACCCGAGCAATCAAATCTTTCCCTTCAGCTCTCCCTGTTGACATTCTTCAACATCCACTGTCAGTCACCGCCGTGCCTGAGCAATCTTTTTAATATATTTAAACAAAGCAGCACATCCTCTTTTCCTTCGCCAAACTCCATCGTCTTATTCTAGCCCTGTGGTTTGCTGTGCCCTGCGCTGGATTGAGCTGTTTAAATATTAACCACTTCTGTACGTATGTCAGGGGGTGAGCTCATTGTGCTTTGGAGGAAGCAGACTTTGTAGAAAGCTGACACTGCTGCAGTAAAGTAGTTAGCATCCCATCACAGGCACTTGGTGTGAAGTTTCCATGAGTCTGATTCTACTTCCATGCGTGTGTGAGCCTTAACCTTGTAGCTACCACGCTCACAGCTCCAGCTCAGTGGAGCAGACCATCGGGGGACTCGGTCAAGAGGAGGCTCTCTGTTTGATGTGATAAACCGCATCACTTTTTTCCCTCCCTCTACTCCTTCATTTGGTCCGGTGCTCGGCGGTGACGTGCCGAGTTGATTGGCTCTGTGCCTCCAGTCTGTATCTTCACTGATTTACCTTTACAAAGAGAATGTGTAAAGAGAATGGACTGAGGTGCAGATGCTGCAGGAACTTGAGAGCAAATTAGGGGTGGGTGGGAGGGGGGTTGTAGCTGAAATGGTAGCTAGCCCTGATAAAGAGCAGCCACCTGCAGTGTTACAGAGGGAGAGAGAGAGGGAGTGGGGAAGTGTATGCATTGAAGGGGGGGTAGAGAGAGAGAGAGGAAGGGAGGAGAGAGGAATTGCAGGCAGCAGAATTGTGATCAGTCAGGACAATAGGAGGATGTAACTTCTGCAGGACTAGGTTATCTGCTCTTTAGCTAGGAGCAGCTAAAAAATGTTTCTTTTAGACCTCGTCTGTTGCCGGACCGCATCTCTCAGATAATCTTAGCGCTCTCTTGTCTGCAGAGGAGTTAATCCTGGGAGTGAGCTATCACTGAAAGTGCGTTTTGAAGGAGCTGATCGGATTCTTGACTGGATTTTTTTTTTCTTTTTCTTTTCTCCTTGACAAATTTTCAAGCTTATGAAATGTCTGAATGGAACTTTTGACATGGGACCCTCATCTGGAACGTGACTGTTTATGCAGCAGGTTTAAATGTTAAGACAGCCGACAAGCAGAAAGGGAAACTTTCAAATCTGTGTTTTATAAAGAAATGTTATGTTTTCGAATTTAACGCTGTTTACTTTTCTGAGCTGCTAGATTTCACAAGGTAGAAAACGATTGACTCTGTTAGCCTCTGTGTTCGAGGGGTAGTTAATATATTGGGAGGTAACTACCTGTGCAGTGATTGGTTTCTAGTGTGGAGTGTGTATTTGCTTTGAAAGAGAGTTAAAGAATTCCAGTAACATGTTCACTGGAGGAGAGGCACCAATCTGTCTTTGTATAGGTTAGACTGCTGACAGCTGTCAGTATAGTGTTGCTCTGTTATCAATCTCAGTTCATTGCAGTCATGTCACAGGTTTCCTTTAGTCCCTCTGCGTTTTTTGCTTGTCCTGCTGCTTCCGATGTGGACAGTGGCACATCACAGGTAGATTCCTGTTTGGATTGTCCGTGGGGGATTATGTGTTAAACAGGTGGGATATGTGAATCTGGGATCCAATTATTTACCAAATACCTGTCTTGGCTACAAGTCTGGATCACTTACACTTGGCTGCAACAAATCTACTACCCTTGAAGAACTTAAACTAAAGTTATACGCTCCAACCTCTGAGTGTTATTGTAAAGTTAAAGTGTAATTAAAACAGCCCTAATATTTTTTTTTTTTTTTTTTTTTTCCCCTTTTTGGGCAGAAAAAGGTACCTCCTGAAATGGGACACTGACTTTTTTCATAATCAGATATGAAATATTCAGTCATATTTGTGAGTTAGGTGAGGCACCGCGCTGTGTGCTAAACAGAAATGTATTTCAGCATTCTCCTGGCTCACTATCATAGCAAAAATATATTCTTTATTTTTTAGATATTATCCATTTTTTTGTGGATTTATCCCTTTTATCTTACCTTCACCCCCGACTCGGGGGTAGTTTAATCTATTTCCAGTGACTGTTGTTCAGCCCCCGCTGTCCTGCGGGAGCTGACGCCTTGTTCACAGAGGACACTGTCTCCCTCACGTTCCTGCTGCTGGTGCGCTCGGCTCTGCTGGCCGAGAATGATGTGGCAATGCCACGTCTCGTCCTCGGAGTGCCGCTGCTACCGGCTGAAAGGTTTCTCACTCCTGAAGCGCTTTCCCCTGTCAGCAGGTGCTGCAGGCCGACTGCTGGACCAGCCCGTGGGAGACTGGCTGGAGCATGTGGGTCTGCCGCAGTACGAGAGCAAACTACTCCTGAATGGATTCGACGACCTTCACTACATGGTGAGTGCCTCACTTACTTCATTTTCATTACTGTCTTTGGTTCATATTTAATTCTCTCGCCTGTTTAGCCGTTTATTTTCAGTTTTTAAGTCTTTGAAGACTTTTTTTTTTTTACCTTTTCCCTGTACTCTAAAGTATCATATTTGCATCATAGGTATTTGCATTATTTAGTGCTTGGCTTAACTCAGTGTTTCAACTTTTCCATCTGTTCTGGTGACTCCACCTTTCAACTTAGCCGATGCAGTCTGAGCTCAGCTCCTGTCAGATAGTTTGTTTGATACTGTTACCTCTGGTTTAGTGTTGAATTAAGGCTGTCCTGGATCCTCACACTCTCAGACGGTTTGTCTCTGGCCTGGGAGGCGATTGTCGTGGCTTCTCGTTAACAGTCAGAGAGCCGGCTGCCAACAAAGCAGCTGATGCCCGACCAGAAGGGAGAAGAATCTTGATGAGTAATGGGGTGCTATTGCCAATCTGACAAGTTTATAGAGCCCAAAGTGTGCGATGCCTCTCTGAGTTGGCTCAGTTGCTTTTCTCAGTCCTGAAGTCTGATGAAGGGGCACAGCTGGCAGTCTGAACCGGTGGGAAAGTTGAGAGATAAGCATCCTATTTGTCAAGATAAGAACTCACATTTCTATCAGACTTATGAAAATCTGTTGTCCACAGTGTGTTTTATTTGTTACAGTGAAGGTTTTTATGTTTTTCAAACACTACTGTAGATTCACACATGAGTTATAAATGTACTCAAGATTCCCTCCATGTGGACTTACTACTTACCACAAAGTAAATGAAGCCAGATCCAGAGCGCTGCGTATAAACAGGAACACAGCAGCAACAACAAAACAGAACAAGTTCTCTTAGCGACTACAAAAATAATTCATAAATCACTGTGTTGGGTGCAAATTAAACTTTTCATTTCGGCTGAAAGAAAGAAAGGGTCTCGGGCACTTTTAATTTGAATTTGAATGAACTGTGCCTCAGATGAGTGCGACTATGAGAAGCTGACAAAGGCTCCAAAGAATATGGTCTCTTAGACACTCAGCGTATTGTACGTAAGCATAACAGCTGTTTCCTTGTGCGGTTCAGAAGATATACACCTCTGTTTGTAAGCTCCACAACACATGACAGCAGATGTAAACAGACGTACACGTTTCAACTTATAAGACCCTGAGATTATGCAGCAATATTAAAACCAGTACAGACATTTAAAGTTCAAAAACTACAAAACAAAACATCGATCTCTCTGAGGGAAACATTTACTACAATTTAAAAATAAATAAATAAATAAAAAACCATGAAGTGATGGGACAAAAATTAATGAATATATTTCTTTCTTTTCACACTTTTTTTTTCTTTGAAATTATCAAACCTTTGAAACAATTTTTATAAATAAACTTGAACTTTAAATTCTAAATCATTAACCTTGAGCTTTGCAAAACTGGATATAATAAAGACGATATACAGGCAACTTCATTTGGTATGCTCATGATGTATACTAATCTGGTGTTCAATCTAATTGGGTTTGTAGTAACGCGATGCATTTAGGCATGCAGACACGGTCAGGATGACCTTCTGAAGTTTGAATGGAGCGTCAGGATGGAAAAGAACGGTGATTTAAATGGCTGTTGGTGTCAGACAGCCTGGACTGAGGATTTTCCTACAAAATGATTTCTAGGGTTTTACAAAGAATGATCTGATAATGTGAAAATATCCACATCTCTGGGTGAAAATGTATTGTTCATGCCTCGAGCTCACTGGAAGGCAACTTGGAAGTAACTCCAGTAACCACTTGTTACAACCAATGTATGCAGAAGAGCATCTCTGAACTGCAGAAGACCACACAAGGTGCCACTACTGTCAGCTAAAGACCGCAAACTGAAGCAATGATTAACCCAACCTGACCAGAATTAGACAATAGAAAACTAGAAGATCACTGTCTGGTCTGATGCCAGATAAAGGTCATCACTGATTGTCAGTATCTGTATATTTATTTCTTTACCTCTGCATGTAAGGCTTGTTAATTAGACTTAAATATTATAAATTTAGTGTTTCTTTGGTTTATTAAGCTTCAGTTGTTTAATAAATAAAATGTGTGGCTGCTATCAAACTATATCTGTCTAATTTCAGTGCACTCTGATTCTCCCATAAACAACCTTTTACTCTACTTTACATAACCCGAGAATAGAGAATTCATCCACTTATCAGCCTCTCCGCTTGGAGAAAGCGTGATCCACACCCATGTTTAAGTACGTGTTGAAGCCTCTGAAGTTTCTCTCGGGGTTTAATCTTCCTACTGTCTTTTAGGCTTTCACACTCCTTTTTCTCAGGCTTGAGTCGTCTTTTTATTCCAAAGCGGCAAGCTGGCAACATTTCTATCTTTAAACATGGCTTACTAACCACCTGCCTTCCTAAAGTCGCTGCAGGGTTTAGAGAAAAAGCTGTTACCTCTGAACAAAACGTGTCCTTCCCACAGCAAATGTTGACTTTTTTTTTTTTTTTTTTTTTTTTTTATATGAATCACAATTTAGTCTCAATTGGAAATTAGAATTACCCTCTCAGTCACCTTTGCTTTGCTAAACTTTTATAATTGCGTTTAATCTATGCATTAGTGAATAGAGCAGAAACGAGCCATATTTCGTTCTTGGCTGAGTTGCCAGTACTGTGTACAGATATGCCTGTCAGCCAATCCACTTTTATCTTCAAGAGACGGATCACCTTCTGTGTTCGACTTTCAAAACGACAATCTAAAAACACTTCAGACTCAGAAATAGATGCAGAGTCATGATGTTACTCTTATGCATTTCCTATGAGCTGCTAAAAGACGGGCAAGATGCCAGTATTTTAATTGAAATGTTCACACTTCATCATCAAATTTTAAACAATGGTAAGAAAATGGTCCTTCTCTGAGTTAGGTTGTTAGACATACTATTTATTTTTCCAAGTATGCTTATGTAGCAGCGAGATCACTAATCAAACAGTGTTTACTCTGCCACTCAGCCAACTGTGATGTGTGTCTCCCCTGCAGGCACGCTCTAGAAGCAGATCAATAACAGCAGTGAATGTATTGTGTTCAAGCAGCGTTGCAGAGACGAGCCTTTTTCTGAAACCAATTAGATGCTTTTTATCGACTCGTGGAGCAAATGTCCCGATGAAACAAGCGCTGCGCAATCATGCTGTTCTCCACCGCTCGTTGGTGCTGACAAGTAAAGCCTGTTGAAATGAAATGGCTCTTTTTCTCTGTGTTAGACTTCTGCGCTGTGACACAGTCGGCAAGTTCGTTTGTATTCAAAGCGACTGAGACTGACCGTCTTCTGGCGAGGGCGTCTGGATCTGACTTTTATGCGGTCAGCTGAGGGAGAACAAATTTACTTTGAGTTTCAAATCAGTGGAGGTGGCTGAGGATTTATAAGGAGAAAGCCTTTTTTGGGGGTTTTTTAGAGTTGGTCAGATATAAAAGTTGCACCAAGGTTAGGCTTTTCTATTTCTGAGTTGCATTCATGTAATCTAAATTCATGAAGTTTTCGTGACCCCCAACCCCCCCCCTTTTTTTTTTTTCTTTTTTTTTCTGCCTTTTAATAAATGCAAAGGGCTCATGCTGCAGCGAGGGACCAAACCCTGCGGAAAAATCCAGTAATGGCTTCCTGCATCCGAAGCTAAAGGACTGGGAATGGATTGATTGATTTTTTTTTTTTTTTTTTTTTTTTTTTTTTTTTTTTTTTCTTTTGGCTTAGATTTGTTAATTTGAAAGAAACATTTTTTTTTAATGTTCTGTCATCGTTTCATTTGCACTTTTCTTTTGAGGTCTGAGTGGTCTCATGGCAGCCAGTTTAGGAGGACAAACTGAGTCTTAGTGCTGTTAGGTAGCTGTCCTTTTAGAGGGTCAGAATGAGTGATCCGTGCCCCTGAGCACCCAGCCTCAATTCAGAGTGCTTTTAAACCAGGGAGGCCACTGTGGCTGTTCTCTGGATAGGCCGAGGAGGAACAGAGCAGCATTTTAATGAGAGGACGGAGTAAAGCAGAGCTGGACAAGCTGCACAGGCACAAAACAGGCCCAGCTTACACTGCTGTAAATGTATTCTGTTTGCCAATGTTGTGCTGATATTAGCGTTCTCTCTACTAATGTACTCCTTGAAACCTGCCAACCCTGTGGAAGCACATTAGCCAGAAATTTCCCCACAGAGTTGTCACCACCACATCATGCTGTTTGTGTTTTCAGACTCTTTGAATGAGGATAAATGGCTTATCCAGATATAGCAGAGGTGAATGTAACACTTTACATGAAAGGAAATGAGAATATTTATTAAACCAGGTGTGAACAAACATTCTTCACCTAACAGGTATTCAGTTCACTCCAGTTTGGTTTGGTTTAGTGAGGTGTGTCCAGAAGCAAAATGTTGATTAGTGTTCAAAGTTATTTGCTTTATCAGTCAGGTTGTCATTCAACCATCAAGCCATTAATCATGGGACTGAACTGGGAGTCATTTATTTATGTCTAAGCTTACCCAAGTTAACTTCAACATGAAATCAAATTATCCAAGGACAAAAAAAGATTGAAAGAAATGAACAAAAGAGCCCTGTGTCAGCTTGGCGACTTGTCCAGGGTGTACCCAGGGTCTCGCCGTATGATGGCTGGGATGGACTCCAGCACCCACACAATGCTGATGTTTCCTTGGCTTGCCTCAGTGATAGATGTCATAAAACAAATATTAAAGTCTGTAAAGCCCAATAAACAGGATGATTTCGAAGTGATGAGATAACATTTCTGCACATCTGCCAGAATTAGCAGAAGACACATGAGAAAATCAGAGTGGTAGGAAAATGAATAAATCAGGAAATGGGCAAAGAGTGTAAACCCAGTCTGTTACAGCTGTATTCCCCCGCATAGAGACATTTATCAGTTAATCTCCAGTGGGACAGTAATGCAATGATCCATGCACTTTGAAGCATTATCATCCATTCAGCCCCACAAACCATATCAGTCCTCAGCTAGAGAGGCAGCAATCAGCATGTTGCTGCTCAGAGATAATGGGCTTTCAGTTGTCAGTTTCGTGTGAGGCAGTGTGAAGGCAAAAGAGATGATACATAATGTCCTGTGCTCAGTGTGGGCTGAAGCCAAGATCATAGTGAGTTCTGATCAATAAACTCACTCGGAGCATTCAGGTACTCATATTTCTGCTTTCCGTCTTCCTTCTCCGGATTTCCATCGACAGGCTGGATCGCAGCCTATTAGAAATTTCAGCATGAACAGGATGGCAGTGTAAAAGTTTATGTCAGTGTCTTAGCTGAATTGTGATTAGCATTGTGATTCCACAGGCAGCATTACAAAGATTGCTCTGCAGCATTTACTCTAACAGACGCACTCCTCCCCGCTCCTCATGCTCTCCGCCCCTTGTTTGCATCAACGGCATCTGCATGAAAAACAGGCTGTCAAGTTTGACCTACAGACAGCATCTCTGCTATGCCATTAGTGGTGTGTGTATGTGTGCGTGTGCACAGCGGTGAGCACCACAGGATTAACTTTAGGTTCATATTGAAGAGTCAGCCCTGAGGCGGCGCCTTCTCTGGACCGTAGTGATACTGGCAGATGAGAGTTGGCTGCTGACTCCCCTGTAGAAGCACTACAGCTAGCATTCATGGTTTATATCCAACAGGCAGGACTTGTGACCCTTACCCACTTCTTATTGGTCAATCTGAGCATGGTTAATTCAGTTTAACAGACGGCAATTCCTTCAACCTCTGCTAACTGGCTAGTCCCAGCCCTTGCCATCCTGTGGTTTTGACTACCAGTTCAATTGCTGGGTGGTTGTTGTTTTGGTCCTATCAGTTATTCAGCTGCTTCTTGGAGAGATTCACGTTCTATTCCACCCTCCTGGACTGCAGTTGAAGACAGTAGTCTTTCTTCTCCTCTGCAGATGCTGAGACCTGAAAAGACTACTGTAACCAGGGTCTAACAGTGGGTAGGGAAATTGTTAATAAACAAGACCCACAATCAGCTGTAATCTTGGAGTTCTTTCATTCACCTCAGAGGCAGCTGATTATGTTGCTCAGTAAAGCTGCAACATTAAGTGTGAAAACCCCAGAAGCTTTATTCTGAATCTGTTATCGTTTTAATCTAAATCTGTGGGAAACACTGTTTACTGTCTTGTGACTGTCTTATTTGGTCTGTTGTACCATAAAATTGTTTAATATGGAACTAAAATAAATGAATAAATGATGTTCGGTGTTCATATAAAGGCTTTCCTTTTACGTGTCAAGGTGTTTTGATTTCCCCCGCGGCTGTCGTCAGCTATCGATGCGCCTCCATCTCATAACGCTGCCCACTCTGCAACTCAGACATTGATTCATCCCTCCCTTCTCCATTATCTGTTTGTTGCCACTCAGTCTCCAAAGGTGATATCGTGTGTAACCAAAGACTGGTTTGAACATCAATCACCACATTCCTGTCAGTACCACCCCCCCACACACACACTTAAGTCTCATTTAAGAGGTTATCGATGTGGCTCCTCTGGTGATAGTCACTAAGTTGAGTTCTAGGGAGGATCTCAATCAGGAGTAATTCACCTTTTTATGCAATGGTAGCATGTTTGTGATCAATTCTCACGTTGCACTGAAGGCTTTTAGCTTGGAGGGTTCGTCTTAATTATATATATATAGATAGATACGTATCTATCTTTATCTTGCATCAAGGCAGTCTGTGTTTTGGGATTTTCATAGATGACTTGAATAAACTACGTAAAATAACAAAAACTGTCTTTTACTAAATGGTAACTTAAATTACTTTATTCTGACACAGTTTAATGTACCTTGCTTTCTAATGACTTTCATGGGTCTTAGACTAGAAATGCCAGTAACAAAAATGCTTGTTTTGTATGTTGCTTTAAAGGGGAGCAATGTAATGGAGGACCAGGACTTGAGAGAGATTGGAATCGCAGATCCGAGCCACAGAAAGAAGATCCTGCACGCAGCACGTTCCTTTCCAAAGGTGATAAATCATTGATTCCTACTTTAGTACTTCTCAGACCCAATTCAGTGTTTTGCATTTGCTTTAATGTTAGTTGATTAAGTAATATTCTCACCTTAGACCCAAGTGTCTATTGCATTTATGGAAATTAACAAGTTAATTTGTGGGTTAGGCATACGGCTGAGCAGGAGCAATAGTGCTTAATAATGAAGTCGAATGCGGTTTGGCGGTGGGCTTGCTTTATCTTATTGTATTGGGAGCTTTACTTGTGTTATAAAAATAAAATTAAACTAAAACACCTCTGCAGTATTGTCACTTTAATTTGTATTGCTTTAGCTCATTCTGCTTGTATACAAATATACATCTGTGGGGGTTATTGAAACCAGAACCCTTCAATTTCCTGCCAAGGAAAATTGGCTAAATTTGCAGCATATTGGTTCAGCCAACGCCCTGAATTCCTCAAAGTGTCTGTGAATGATTACGTTTTCTGCTGCAGGTGAAAGCGCTCGGCTGTGACGGCAGCAACTCCCTGTCCTCCTGGCTGGAGAATCTGGGCCTGCATGAGTACTTGCAAAACTTCCTGTCCAGCGGCTACCGCACTCTGGACTGCGTCAGAAACCTGTGGGAGCTGGAGATTGTCAATGTGAGTCACAGTGATGTACAAGGAGAGTGGGGAGTATCAGAGGGTGAAATTAGTCTTCAGGTGTCTTGGAGAGAAAAAAAAATCAGGATAGGGAAACGCGTTTGACGGTTTACTTCAGGTTCCCCCCCCAAACTGAAGCAGGAGGCTAAAACTGAAGGTGAATGTGTATTTGTGTTGAATATTGGGAAATATTCTAAAGTCTCATTCAAAAAAAATTAATTGAGATTTTCACTTTTGAAAGACAGAACTGAAATTACTTGGTTAGAAGATGGCACGTCAGACTTCACTGGTCTGTGAGGAAATGTGTTGCCTTTTGCTACTACTGGGAAGGGTCTCTGAAAGAAACATGTTTTCTTGTTCACTCCAAGATCAGTGCTGCATTCCTCCATTTCTGTGTGCAATACCATCACCTGTAGATCAGTGAAGTAATGTCAGACACTGTATCGCTGCATGAACGTGTGAACTTGTGCAATCCCGTATGTAGATTCAAGATTAACAGAAGAGAATAGACTCAGAGGGGAAACAGCTTCACATGGAGAGCTATTAAGGGAACCTCACAAATGAAATAGTGCCTGATGTGTTGTTTTCTGGCATTTCCTTATGTGCTGCTCGGTATGATCACTTCATAATTTTCTTTTTTACAGGTGCTAAAAATTAGCCTACTTGGTCACAGGAAACGCATCATCGCTTCCTTAGCGGAGAGGCCTTATGAAGAGCCTCCTGTCAAACCTCCTCGTTTGTCTCAGATCAGGGTGAGGACCTACAAACTACTTTCCTGTGTAAAAGTGCTTCACAAAATGTTTCTTGTTTACTCTTCACTCACTTCGGAACCAGATCTGATGTTTGAATACTGTCCGACAAACTTAGGTTTACGTTTTTCAAATTCTTTATTTTTAGCCTGTAAATGTTGCAAAGCATATTGACAAAGATGAATGCCTGATAGCTAATGATAGAGAGTGCATCTGACATGAGATACCCAACTGTGTCATATTACATCTCCGCAGTGTCAAGACCTGCCTGGATCCCAGACTTCATCTCCCATGAGTCAGATGGAGCCCTACACAGGACGCTCAATGGACCCTCTGCTGCCTGCAGGCGAGCCAGGGAGGAAAAAAGCACAAGAAAACGACTACGACGTTACCCAAAGATATCGCAGCGAACGACACAGGCCTCCTGTATGTGGTATATCTACGAGTGTGTTAATGGTTATTGAGGGCTTCTGCCAGGCTTCTTTGATAGTTATGGTTATTTTTATAGGAGCGACATGAAGACTGGCAACGAGAGCCCCGCCTGACCTTGCGGCCACCTAGTCTAGCAGCACCGTACGCCCCGGTTCAGAACTGGCATCACCAACCAGAGAAACTCATCTTTGAATCCTGCGCTTATGAAGCTAGTGTACGTCTGCACCATTCTCCTTCCTACATGATTCCGCTTCGTTGATTAAACACATCAGCAGTAATGTCTTTTTCCCCTCCATTTCATTACAGTATCTTGGTTCCATGCTTATTAAGGAACTAAGGGGCACTGAGTCCACGCAGGATGCTTGTGCCAAAATGCGGGTATGACAAGTTTCTCCAATCCCTGAGGATAAACTCATAGATATTGTTTGCGTGAGTGGCAACTGACCTGTCCTTTTAATCTTCCCTCCAGAGGTCAACAGAGCAAATGAGAAAAGTCCCGACTATCGTCCTCTCAATCACATACAAGGGTGTGAAGTTTATCGACGCAGCCAACAAGGTTAGCGACTACACACATGCGCACACACACGTACATACACATTTTCTCTTTGCGTAAAGGTTTACTTCTTAACCAGACGTGTTCTTTGAGGCGTGTGATACATCAAATTGAGGCCGGGGCAAATGACAGCATGTTTCCTTTTTTAATGTGTGCATGAAAGTGACGCAGTCAGACATCAAGCTTCCTCTCTTTCTGTGATTGTAAATATCATGCCTGCAAGTTTGTGTCAGATTAGTTTGTGCTTATATTTCCTTATAGGAAGCAAATCTGATTGACATTTAGTTGACATTAATAAAAAAAGGCTTTGAAATGTTGAAGCTCAACATGGTCGTGTTGTAGTTGCACTTGTGGATGGCTGGCAGTCAGTGTTTCTCCTTTAACTGTTTAGTTTTTTTTTATTTTGTAACATTTTCTAACAGCATTATTGTCTCAATGTTGATGGAATGAAATAAAATTTAAAAAAAATGAAAGAATGCACTGTGTACTCTCGTTACTAAACCTCACTCATGTTGCCCTTCTCGGTCCAGAACATCATTGCAGAGCACGAGATCCGTAACATTTCTTGTGCAGCCCAGGACCCAGAGGACTTGTGCACATTTGCCTACATCACTAAGGACCTGCAGACCAGCCACCATTACTGCCATGTCTTCAGCACAGTAGATGTGGTAAGGACACTTGTACTGGGCTCTATTGTACTATAGATGGTATAAAAGATGATTGTGTGATTGTGCTGTCACCCATCGCCCTTGAAACTTTTATATGCTGGCGTTTTAGAGCCAGACGTCATCTTACAAAGATGGGAGGGTGGGGGGTTTACTTAGCAGCTAGCGCTTAGCAAGTTTCATTCATAAACAGCAGCTCATGGCATGCAAGCAGGCATGCAATATAGAGACACACATACAGGCTAATTAATGTAAGAAACAGATGGACATTAGAGCACAAACTTCTTGGATGGTCAGCACCACACAGAAATGAACAGTATTAGTCATGTAATCAATTAGAAATGTTCTAAAAGTCACCAGTAGTAGTAAGCACACGGTGAAGAGCTCCAGTTTAGTACTTCAGAATGAGTCCTCAATTATTATGTTGTTATTAAATTGTTATGAAGGGGGAAACAATCCACAGAAGCCAAAATATTTTTTGTACCATACTGTAAAATGTGACATTTTAACATGGAAGTCTGTCATTTTTGGAGCCAGCTTCAAGCTTTGCACAGAGGAACTGCAGTTTTTGTACTTCTGGAGTTTCTCCCCCGTGTTCAAAACAAAGTACAGATTTATCTTCTAGTTATGTCAGCTTGCGGTTTGTCTGCTTATTCAGGGAACCAGTGGGCCTTGAACAGTAGTAGTAGCTCAGTGTGTATTTTACGTGTAGTTGTTTTTTTTCCCTGTGTAATAATATTCAACATTGCTATCAATACATTTTTCAAAAAATGCCTCTCTGTGCAAAATGGGTTCAAAAACATAAACAACTGTGGGATCCTGTTTGTCTGTGTCTGATATTATTTGTATCCCACTGTAACTTTACTGTATAAAGAGCTAACATCTCCAAAATGTCAGGAGTAGTTAGTCATTACAAGAAGTGTTTGTGAGCTAAAAATCAAGAATGTGGGATACTGTGTCTGTGATTTGGAGAGCCCAGCGCTGCTCCCGACGCAGGAAAAACCAATTCTGCAGTGGAGACCTACCTGGCACTTGTGCAGGTGAAGCCAAAGGGAAGATATGCTTCATCATATTTTCTAGTCTTTGACTTGGAAGGAAGTTGGTTTGGAAACCTATTTGGCGATGCTTCATCTCCTGCTTTGCGTTTGTGTGGCAGCCCCGTCAGAAACCTGTCCGTTATGCTAGTAGTAGCTTGACAAGGGTTTTCAGCTGCAGACAGTAATGCTTTTGTATTTGATTGCGGGCTGTTGGTAGTCATTAAACACTGAAACGCTATGAGTCAAATAGTTACCACAGCTTTGCCGTGTCCCTTCTGCTACCGAAAGTGTCCATATGAATCTCCTTTATTTGGTTATTTTAAACTGCACTGACTATATGGCTGCTTTCAGGGTCCGCCTGGCACAATCGTCACTACACAAGAGATGTTTCTGCGTATTGGTGTACATGGAGTGCTTTATCTCAGGGCAGGTTACTACATCAAAGGATATAAAGAGGATTTCACAGCTCTGTGTTATGTGTCTCTTCAAATGATGATTGTTGTTCCCACCATAGGATTGCTTTTTCAGACTCCCAAGGCATAACGTATAAAGCATGAATCATCTGTCTTTAGTCTGCAGAGCTTGTTCGTACCTGGGAGCTGTCAGGGTAAAACAGAATAATCCAGCAGCTTTATTACTGAGCTACAGAGGATGGATCTAGTTTAGGAACAGGGGGTTGCTGCACAATACTCCTGAGATTACTGCCACTTCTTCAGGTTATGCAATTTTGTTTTGAAGAAGTTTTGGAGGAAAAATCTTTCTTCTGTTACGTTTTGCTGTCTCGCTGCACACTGTGATGGTGGTGGTCCTTTGGCTAAAGGCTTGGAATGACTCAATGACTCCTCCTCTTTCTCCCTTTCTGTATAGAACCTGACCTATGAGATTATACTGACACTGGGCCAGGCGTTTGAGGTAGCATATCAGCTGGCTCTGCAGGCCCAGAGGACCAAACCGCACCAGAGCGTCCCAGCTGGATCTGGATCAGAGGTCATTGAGACCAAGTCCAGCAAACCTGTGCCCAAACCACGAGGCAGCATACGCAAAACAGCGGTGAGTTGGTTGTTAAAAAGTATTGTAGTAAAAACACCAAATAAAGCTGAAATATTGTTCAACGTGTTCTCGAGCAAATTTGGAATTTTAAATCCTTTTACTTCTCTGTGCCAGAAAAAAATCTTTTTGTGTTTTGTGATTACATTTGCAGCACACGCCTAATTTTTTGGAAGCAAAAACGATGTTAGATTGCTTGCGTCAGTCTACACCTCTCGACATCACTGTGGTTATGCTATGCTGATGTCCATCTGGGCATTAGCATTAAACCATTAAGAGGGAAGCTTGTGCTGAATATAAATGAGCCAAGTCCTCCTCAGGGACAAGTCACACATTTCTAGCTGCAGCTTAATGATCACAATGATTTAACAATGTAATTCTGTTCAGTGTTTTCATCTGTGTGGCTTTTTTTTTTTTTTTTCACATGTACATTTTTAAATGTGTTTAATCAGCACCTGAGCACACATGCACTTCATACTCAGTTACACACATCCACACCGATAAGCACACATAAGCTTCAAAATGCACCTGCAGTGTCTTCTGTGTTGTGTGCGACCTGTCAGACTCCTCATGTGTCATGCCTGTTAAAATCTGTGTCCCTTTTCCCGCCCTTTAAGTTCTTTGACTCTGTCGCTGCTTCGTCCTGGTTCTTTGTGCACTTTCCCTTTTCTCTTCTAATCTTCGTCTCCGTCTGGCTTGCTTCTCTTCCTCCTGGTGGTGTTTATTCCTCCCAGGACTCTCCTCTCCCTCTCGACAGTCGTTGCTGTTACTGTTCCACCTGCACCAACCACCGTCCCTCCTTCCTACCGCTGCACTCTGCCAGCCATGCTGCCCAGGTGCTGCCTCCTATCCCATCCCCACCCTTCTCACCCACTCGTTGTTGTCTTTTTTTTTTTTTTTGCCTTCCTGTCACAGCTTATTTTCGCTGACTTTCCTGAAAAGTCCGTAAACTTTTTTGTCTGTTTATTTCACTATCTTTTCTCTGCTATATGTTGAAAACTACAAATCATGATGTATACTGTTAACTCCAACGCCCTCTAGTGACAGGCTTGTAGTAAGACAGACAAAGTTTATATACTGTACACAGAATTCTTTTTGGGTGTTTTTACTTAAACTTTATGAAATACATAGAGAAAATGTTGTTATTATATTTTATCAATAAAAAGCCAGCAAAATTGTCTGCTTACTAATTGCTCCCAAAAGTGCTCAACAAAATGAGAACCAGGAAAAGTTAAAATTGCAAAAATTGCATATCTCATAGACCCATATTTTTATTGACATCTGAACATGCAAAACATTTTAACTGTTTACACTGAGAAAAACATGAGATCGTTTTCTGGGAGATGAGGAAACCAGTTGCCGGACTTTCAGCAGAGAAATGAGTCCCATTCTTGTTTATTGTATTGTTTTTAGCTGCTCAGTAGTTCTGTCTTCTTTGTTGTATTTCATGGTGTGTCAACTGTTTTTAATTGTGAAAGGTCTGAACTGCAATTCAGCACCGAAGCTATGCGGCTGTAACAGATGAAGTATGTGGTTTAGTTTAGTTTAGTCGAACTATGCAAGGCCTTCCCTGAAAAAGACGTCATCTGGATGGAAGCACGTGTTGCTCTAAAACCTGTAGATACCTTTCGCCAATAATGTTTTGCCATGTGTGCAAGCTGCCTATTTCATGGGAACGATCCACCCACATACCATGAGAGATGCAGGCTTTTAAACTGAGCACTGACGGTCCCTCTCCTCCAGAGGACTTTTCATCTGTGTTTTCTAAAAAGAATTTTAAATTTGGATTTGTCTGACCACATGTCAGTTTTCCAAGTTGCCTCAGAGCTTTGGCTCAGAGAAGATGGCAGTGCATCACATAGTACTTCTGATCTTTTGAGCCCCAACTATTCTGAGAAGTGTTGCTGCCATCAAATTCAAAATGACTTAATGTTTTTCATGAAATAGTAAAAAGTATTAGTTAAAAACCTTTTTGTCTAATATAATAAATAAAATATGGGTTTATGAGATCTGCAAATCATTGCATCCTGTTTTCTTTACATTTTGCGCAGCATTCCAACTTTTTTGCGACCGGGGTTGTAATTTTATGATAATTGATGGATAGGTGTGATGCTGCATCGTTTATGGAATCTGTTTAAACACAAACATCAACACTTTCATGGGTAAATGTGGTTAAATTTCACCACAAACAATTACACTTTGTTGGCACAATAATACTTCATTGCTGCATTTTGAATCTAAGCATTACAAAAAGTGTAATCAGCCTCGTATATGAAGATTCAGATATTTCATTGCTGTCTGTTTGTACTCACAGGGGGACATCGTGGACCAGGAAGGCGATTCTCAGTCCCAGGGTAGTGCCACGTGGCTCATGGACCCCAAAGAATCCAAGCGCACTATCAGCACTAAGTACGAGACCACCATTTTCTGAGTGGACCTCTCTTCCTCCTGGGCTCAGCCTCACCCTCCTTCCTTCCCCTCCTTCTGTGTGCCTTTCACTGTGACGCTGCCTCTTTCTCCGCGCTGGACCTCTGCTCCTCCCCACCGCCATCACTTGTTTCCTCCTCCGACAACACCACAGTCTGTGGCAACTGACCAGCTGTTGCCTCTTCTTATGTTTAACTCCCAGCACCTTTACACTTTTTCTCAATTATTAATGCAACCCCTCCACCTCGCCCACCGTCTTCTAGCTGTCTAGTTGGTATCTCTTCTACTGTGAGCCTGCCACTCACTTTCCCTTTTATTCCTCCTTTCTGTTTACCTTATATGCTTCCTCCAACAATGCTTCCCCCTTTTTTTTTTTTTTTTTTTTTTTTTTTCTTCCCAACTGTCAACATCCCACTCTTTACTCTTGGTGATAAGCTCTCTCTTTTCTTAATGCTTTTCTTGCTCTGTTAGGCGACGGCCGCTCTGAGGCTTTTCACTCTGACGTTCCAACTCCTGACTTCACCGAGTGCTGAGAAAACTGATTTTTACCACAGCCAAGAGTGACCCACTGCACACATCCCGTACCTGGATGGACACGTTTCCTGAGGAAACTGTGAAACTGATCCTGTAATTCTATGCATCAGTCGGACTGTAGCATGTTTATGTTCGCAGGGATGCAGGTGTTATTGAGGTTAAATAAGATCAATTAAGGGCAAGGCTTTTTTTCTTCTTCTTCTTACGGTCAGCTGCCTGCTTAAAGCCAAAAGAGGCCAAGATCCTAGCACTGTGATATGATCCTTTTGATGCTAATGAAGTAAGCATTTTGGGGTGGGGTTTCTAGAGAGCATCAGAGGGACAGAATAGGGCACAGAGGCAGACATGGATCTGCATGTTAGTGGTCCTTGCTCCAAAAAAACAGCTCAAACTAATTCAAAACTGGCATGCCGTCAACTATCAGTCAGGATTTAAACTCAATGCTTCGTCTAGAGTGAAGTAACTACACCTAAGCACTTACATAAAATCCTCAAGTTTGAAAGAATAAGTGCATTTTCCTCTTCTTTTTTTTCCCTTTCACAACAAATGCCTTCAGTGTTCATCCTGTCAGCATTGCCTTTCCCCCCCCAGTCGTACCAGGTTAATGTTTCACAGATGCTTGGTGAAAAGAGTTAATCATTACGAAGGACTTAATCCATCACTATAGTGCTGTTTGTGTCCATCGGTTTTACTTAATTTTAACTCCACTGCTTTGTGTGCGTGTGTCTGTGTCCCTTCCCTGTAGCTGACACTGTGGCCAATCCCAGACAGTGAGAAAAGGACAGGAATGAGCCCTGTTGAGTGGTGGGTAGGATGTTTTGCTGGATCATTGCCCCACTTCTCACCAAGCAGATCACATCAGCAGTCGGATTGTGCCCACAGTTACACACGGGCCTGGAGAATAAGACGGATGTAAACCTTTCGCCAACGCAACACGCTCCCCCGGTTCATCAGACTTCTCCAACTTCATCACCCTGCACGCACGCATGCACGCACCCGCCTCCATTTAACTTCTCGATGCTCAGAAAAGTGATGGTTGTTCCGTGCGACATTAGAGACGGATGTGTTTGTTGTGTTGCGTGCATTTCCTCCGAAATGAACCATCACGTCCCTCACTGAGAGTTGGTGTTTATCGTTTCAGGAAATGTACCTGCCGTTTTCAAAGCAGAACTTGTAGTTAAAGGGGAAGTTGCTGCAGAGATGAGGAACATTCACTTTTTATTATGAAACAAACTGTCAGACGAGAGACCTCACACTGTAGGGTACGCACTTCTTCCTGGGTTGTTTGTCCTGTATCCAAACATTTTAGCTGCTTTCATCACCGTCAGCTTACATACATGTGTAACTGTGATTAAAACAATGTAATCTTGCATGGGAGGAGCTCTCTTACCAAACTCAAGGGGCAAAGAAACTGACACTAAAAGACTGTTTTATATTGAAATAACGGGGGATGGCGTTTATTTTACTTTTTGCGTGTGTATGCGCGTGTGGGTGTGTGTGGGTGTGTGGGCGTTTACTTTTTTTTTATAGGACTATGATTTGTCCTAATGCTGGAACTGGATCAGGTGTGGTTCTTTCTCTCCTTCCCTGCCCCTTTGTTCAGTTAATCTCGACAAGATTATTCACCAAACCTGCCATGCAGGCTGGTACGACTCTAGATTTATAGCTGCAGACAAGAACAATAGGGCACGGCATGTTTCTCTAGCTAACTCCTAATATGTTGACTGTTAATGGTACTGTTTGGTCCACCAATCTGTATATGGGTGCATAGTCGGCTCATTTTGATTTAACTCTTGTATATGTGGTACATTTTTATCCGGCCAGTACGATAACTCTATGGTACACTGTCTTCAGCGCGCTGGTGTCAGCACCTTTAGCCATCAGCCTGGTCCTGCTCTGCTTTTGCACATTGCTGAGGATCAGGAAAGATATTTTGGGACTAATCTGATGACAACAATGATGAGAATGATATTGTACATGAATCTAGCGGTCTGTATTTTGATACTTGAATGATTTTTGTTTTTATAGATATCTATATATGTATATGTATGTATGTATGTATGTATGTATGTATGTACGTATGTAATTTTTGACACTTGTCAAAAAAGAGAAAAGGACTATGTCTTATAAAGTTAAACATATCGTGAATAAATACCCTGTGATTTAAAAAAACAAAAACATTTAAAAAAAAAAAGAAGGCTGAGAACATGACTCAGAAGAGGGACCTCGCTTCAGAGAAAAAGATTGTAAATAATCTTGGGCTTCCAGTCTTTTTTATGATTATTTTTCATAATTGTACAACTAATAAATGGTACAGTTAGAATCGTTGTCTCTGGATGTTTATTAGGACATTCTTTGTTCTTGTTTTAACGGCTCTTCCTCCAAATTTGGGTAAATTTCTGATGGATTTACAGCTCTGTTGCAGTCTTTAAGGGTAAGTGACGCATGAGTGTCGATGCATTCAGAGTATCTCGATTTGGCTCAGGGCAGCCGAGGTTAGTGGACGTCTTCCAATGAAATGTTTGCTCTCCACCCCATCTCCACATCATAAACTTCTCTGCAACAGCTCAGTGGATTTACAAAGGAAATCTGTATTACAGCTGCTTCTTCTGTCAGTCTATTAAAAAAAAAATTCATTAAATCAGAACAAAGAGAAACTTTGTATTTGAACTGAACTTCACTTTTCAGCACAGGATTATAAACACAACAGTTTTGCTTTTCTTTGCCCCTTTGACCTCGGTCACCTTCAGTTTTATTACTGCTGTCACCTTTTAAACCTTACATGACCCATATTGTGCTTTTGACTTTGTGTTCATGTTTAGCTTTATCTGCTCAAGTTAATTTAAATATTGCAAAGGTTTGAAATTGCCCCAACTTCTGGTTGTGCTTTGACAATTATTTTTTATCTTTGTTATGAGGGAAATGAGTCAGAAGAAAATTGCTGCAGCTATAATTCGAATGCCAGCTGCGGTGAAATGTCAACATCAAGACGTTGATGTGTTTACTCAAAATAATTATTACATTTGTGAGTATAAAATGAAATAGACTTTTAATGTTGACTGAATAGAAGTTCTAATGTTGGTTTTGGGGGAGAAAAGGCAAATCTCACTCAGTTTATTTAACAAAATATTTAAGCAAGTGATTGAAATACCTGATGTTTTCCGTGTATTACAAAGTATTTCCAATTAAACTTAAGTTGTTCATTGTTTTTAGCTGCAAATTCAACTGGCAAGAGTGAATTCAGTTTGTTCTGTAATCTAAGTAATGAGTACGTCTTTAAAAAATGTCAAACTATGGCTGCATCTTTGATGTGACTGCTGGCATGGAAAAAAAATGTACTAGCAGCGGCCCAATGACAGATGAGATGATGGAGATGTTTACACATCTGTCACAGACATATGCTGCTGTTCCTGGAAAACAGATGCTGACTGTGAGATCTGATCCACAGATGTTCTGCTTTGCTCACAGAAATCACACAGACTGTGTGTGGTATCTGGCCTGTAAAAATGGAAAATATTATTACTGAAATAAATGTTTGGTGGTTGTAATTTTGCAATCAGATGCTGAGAATCTAGGTTACCTTGTATTCTCACAGAAGTTGTGTTGTAGTCATGTTGGTCAGGCAGGCTGAAATAGCTCCACATCTACTGGATGGATTTCCCTTGCATTTCCCACACATACAAATGTCCTAAAGCAACAGTCTTTAATGGCTCTGATTAACCTCTTAATTTTCTGAGGTTGACTCACTCATGTTTTAGTATTAATTGCAGTGAAAATTGATGCAGATGTTCCTGTTCCCCTCAAGATAGTTCAATTTTGATTTGGCAACAAATCAAACTTTCTTTTTGTGCTGTAATTTCCTGCTTCTTCTGCTACTCAGTGATAAAAATCTTAGAAACGTGGTGTCAAGCCAGATACTTACTCTGGATGGCATTACATTGGCTTCCAGTAACACTGAGAGGAACCTTGGAGTCATTTTTGACCAGGATAGATCTTTCAGTGTTCATATTACACAAATATCTAGGACAGCATTGTTGCAATTGTGCAATATCTCAAAATTAGAAACGTGCCGTCTCAGAGTGTTGCTGAAAAATTTGTTCATATAATATTACTTGTAGACGGCAATATTACAATTCATTATTTTCAAAACTCCCTGAAAAGCCTTCAGTTGAGCCGAAATGCTGCAGCAAGATAACTGACGGAGCACATTTCTCCCATACTGGCTTCTCTTCATTGGCTGCCTGTTAAATCCAGATATCCTGCTCCTCGCATACAAGGTTTTGAATAATGAGGCTCCATCTTATCTTAAACACCTCATAGAACTGTACCACCCCAACAGAGCACTTCGCTCTCAGACTCGCGGTTCCTAGAGTATTTAAAGGTAGAATGAGGGGCAGAATGTTCAGCTTTCAGGCATCTTGTCTGTGGAAACAGCTCCCAGTTTGGATTCGGGAGACAAACACCCTTTCAAATTTAAAGATAAATCTCTATTTGATGAAGTTTATAGTTACGGCTGGATCAGGTGAGCCCGAATCCTCCCTTAGTTATGCTTCAATAGGCCAAATCTTCCAGGGGCTTCCCATGATTTAATTCAATTTTATTTATACAGCGCCAAATCACAACAACAGTCGCCTCAAGGTGCTTTATATTGTAAGGTAGACCCTACAATAATACATTGTGAGAAAAACCCAACACTCATAAGACCCCCCTATGAGCAAGCACTTTGGTGACAGTGGGAAGGAAAAACACTCTTTTAACAGGACGAAACCTCCAGCACAACCAGACTCAGGGTGGGGCAACCATCGGCCACGACCGGTTGGGGAGAGAGAAGGAAGACAGGATAAAGACATGCTGTG